AACGTGATTCTGTTTTCATTTTGATTTATTTATCAGATTAAACAAAATATTTTTCGACATTATTGCTCTAACTTATCAATTGCTATATCAGATATTCTCTGTTAAATAATAAGTGATTCAGGCAAAATAATTATTTCATGCTATATAAGTATTTCACGTCAAATAAATATTTTAAATTTTTTCGCGGTAGATACTAATAAATTGTTAACAATCCATGTCTTGTAATTTGTATTGTAAACATCATACTGTTCAAATATTTTACAATTTATTACTTATTTCATAACCATCTATTATAAAAAATATAAATATATAAATATATAAAGTTACATATTAATAATAATAATAATTATATATGAAACAAATTTAACCTAATTCTGCTCAGCACACATCGTTAGGTTCAACTTAAAAATATTATTGAATTAAAAAATAACGATATTGAAAATATCGGCAAACCAGCTCTAAATATAAAAAAGATGGTTTTCATTTCTTCTCCTATTATCTCACATCAGGAAATGATTCATGTTATAATTAAGTTAAAATTGCTGAACAAGAAGAAGAAACGATATTAATTTGTCGCTATTGGAGTAAAACTTCCAAATTTTAACGTTTGCTTTTTCTTCATAAGTCCAATAGCAGCTTGTCCCGGTTACTTGCATAAGGCCGCTAAAAGGATGACGGGAATTGTGCAAGAGGATTTAGATGATAAGTTAGGTTTAAATCGTAAATTATTTCAAATAAACAAAATCAAAAGTACTTTATATCAAGCACTAACGGATCTAGGATTTAATTTCTTTTTTTTTGGGATTTCAGCTCGAAAACTTTATTTTTTATATATACAACGATTAATACTTCGGGGAAAAACTAAAGAAACTAATTAGCTATATGAAATGTTGCTTAAATGCTTCTTGCATACCTATTAAATAAAATTCCACGAACAATAATATTTTTAGTATTAACAGTAGATAAATTTTTAATGTTTATTTTATATAACATGGTCATGTCTTATCATTTTAGGGGGAGGGAGAGGGCTTCGGCTTTAGTCCGAAAGCTCCCCTTAGATCCGCCTGTGAGAGGAAGAAATGTTGATAATTCGGCAATTAAACCTAGAGAGATTATTTCAATGAGAATAATAACTACCTAATATTACAGAAAACTTAATCTTACGCTGTAAAACATTAATACAAAAGTAATGCATAATAATAATGCATGATATCGGAAGTGCCGCTTCTGGTTGGTTGATTTTAGAGAAAAAGTTGCTGTAATATCCCAGACATATACTGGCCTTAAATACGTAATTTTAGGTTCATGCGACTTTTCGTTTTTGAGTTGGGCTCATTGCTCACAGACTATTTTGCGACACTTGTTTATTTCGACTGAAGTGTCCTGAAAACGATTCGAAAATTACCACGAACGCAATACTTTCCCTTAATATATATTTCATTTGTAGGTAAAAGAAAGTAAAAGTATGTAACATTTTTTTAATTGTTTGGTCAGAATTTTATATTCAAATACATCCATGCCATATATATATATATATATATATATATATATATATATATATATATATATATATATATATATATATATATATATATATATATTTATGATCGATAAAAATATATAAAATATGTAAATAAAAGAATATTTTATTAACTATTTACGGGAACGAGACTTTTGTCTCTTTTTTTGTATTTTAAATTTTTTTTATACTTAAATTTCTTCTGTTCTATTATGTCAACACATCTCTTTTAATATCTTTCTTAAATTTTGCATTAGCCAACAGCTCATCAACTAAAGTTTTCTTCCTTAATTTACTTGGTAATCGGCTTTTGTAGAAATCAGCGGGAGATTCTAAAACAGTTCCAACCTGAAAATTCTCTATTCTCTCTTTCATCAAATTCCTCTTACAAAACCGCTTGCTAAAGCAGCCCTCACTTAAAGGACTTTTATGTCATTTCTGCTTTCTTCTGGCAACTTAGGCTTTATTTTCTGGTCCTTATTACTTATCTTAGTGTTGTACATTGCAACTGGCAACTTTTTTCTAGCTAAAAAAACATTTGAAATGACACTTTTCCATTAACTCTTCAGGATCTTTTGTTCCTTTAAATTGTTGTGTATCAGATAATGAAAAATGAACATCATCTAATGAATATTCTTTTTCATTCATGATTGAACTGAAATATTACTTGAAGATCTCTTAATCCCTATGGTACACGAGAACTCATAACAAAGCCAAATAAATGAATATTCAAATATACAGTTTTAAATTCTTGTTCGTTTTATAATGTACATATCGATTCCTTCAAATCTGCGATTAAAAAGAATATTGTTTGTTTCAAGAGAATTTCTTCACATATAATTTTATTCTCATATAAAACTCCAGGTTTTTTTTTTCAGGTCTTTCTGCCCCCTCAATCAAAATAGAAACTGCGTTTATGTTAAAGTTTACTCCCTAACATTGGAATGTCAGACGTATTTACTATCAAGGCCTATTGCTGGACATCGGAGATAAGCATATTCAAGAGATGTATTCCATTTATTTTAAAACTTTTGGTGCTCATGTTTAGCCCTAATACTCTCCCAACAAAGATAAAAATGTTATTTAGGAAGAAAGAATGAGATACATTTAAAAGACATTGTATATTACTTTATGAGAAGGAGTTAATCGGGGGGTGCGGTAAAATAAATTCTAAATTGAAATATAGTAATTATTTAATTTTTGCCGACGTTTCGACCCACTTTGAAGGTCGTCTTCAGGGCGTAGGATGTAGCACTGCGGGAGGCAATTGAAACAATATTTACAGATGTACTGTAACAGTGTTTCAACTGCCTCCCGACCTGCAAAGTGGGTCGAAACGTCGGCAAAAATTAAATAATTACTATATTTCAATTTAGTATTTATTTTATCGCACCCCCCGATTAACTCCTCATATTATATCAACGGTCAACCATCTCTACATCATTATATTACTTTATATTCGATTTGTATTGCACTCAATATATCTTTTTTTCAGCTGAGCCCCACAATACCATCCATATGTATATATATGTTTTTTTTAATGACCTCAAATGATATAGGTAAATCTCTACACGCATGCATATATAATAATAACAAATTTAATTCCAATATATAAAATATATATAAGTGAAATCATTCACAAAACCAGAAAATTAATTAAAACTAAGGTTTTTTTTTTTTTTGTCGAGTTGAAATATACATTTATGTGCAGATGTAAAAATAAGATGCATCATTATTATGAACATACTAGTGGCTTGTGCCAAAAATTCGCAGAAAATTTAATATTGTGAAGAACTAACAAAATAATATGGAAATAAGTAGTTCCTATTAGGAATTAATATTTTCTCCTTGGTCGATTATAATATCCCATTAAACATAATAGACCAAAATAATTGCACAAATTGCTTTTCTAGGACCTATTTTTAAACGCTGACTGGAAAGATAATAAAAGTAATATAGAAAAATTAATGTCCTGATTATAGGATATTTTAAATTATTAAAACAAAATAAAATGTAAGAACAACCAAATGTCTTGGAGAAATAATAAAGTTAATATATCAGCCAGGAAAAAAATGTAGTGGACTATTCTATTCCTAAATGCAATATCTTTAAATCAGATGACATTATTTTGTATACCAAAACTAATAGATTGTATCTTTGTTAATAATTGTCCGATTTTTTGTTTGTTTTGTAGGTAATTTGGTAATCTTTCTAATTATTATGTGTACAATCCAGAAAAAAATGCATACTTTTTGCATTATTCGCTAATAAAGTTTCTGTTCCTCCATAACTTTTTTCCAGAAATTTCGAGGAGATGGAACTATTTTTCGCATGTGAAGGAGAAGAATATCTTCAAAATGAGTGGTCAATCATTAGATTTGATGAACAATGAAGAGAAGAATAGTTGGGGTGGTCAGTCAAAAATAAATGATAATTTATTTTTGACTGACCACCCCAACTATTCTTCTCTTCATTATCCACGACAGTCAACCATTTACCAATTATTATATCATTAGATTTGATGAAGAATTGACGAAGTTACGGCGTACCGAAAAAAAAAAACACCTTTTAGAAATAATATATAGGATAAGTTTTATGTTCGATATCCTAAATTATTAAACTAAAATTTAACTATTTTGACAATTATCTCTTTGATGGTTTTCCAATTAAACAATTTTTACTACTCAAAAAAGTAAAAATAAAAATTATTTTAAAAAATATATTACATTTAAAGTATTTCCATTTATTTATTCTATTAATTTATACTGGTGATATTATTCTTGTATTTTTTTTTTCAATTTGATGTTTCAATATAAATTTTTTTTTCGTCATCTTAAGCTATATAAATTTATTTGTCACTTGCTTCACGTCCTTTCAAAAAGTAACACCATATATATATATATATCTTAGTGTTGTACATAGTAACTGGTAACTTTTTTCTAGGTAAAAAAACATTTGAAATGACACTTTTTCATTAACTCTTCAGGATTTTTTGTTCCTTTAAATGGTTAATTAAATATGTTCTAATATATATATATATATATATATATATATATATATATATATATATATATATATATTTTAAATTGAAATAATTTATATATTTTTTTTCAAATAAGAGAACAATAATTCCGTAAAATCTTCCTTTTACTGCTCTTGAACCGGTGTAAAAAATATTGTTTCCTGAAACTGATTCAGTATTTATGAATTGTAATACATATCCACATATATTATAAATTTATGTTGATATGAGCCAAGCTAAATAAGATAATTTTTATCATTTTAGACGAAAACTTATTTCAGCACATCCCAAATACGGTAGAATAATATAATTAGGAAGCATATACATGCAACGCTATTCATTGATTCTATATGAATGAGTAAGCTCTGTTAACGTAAGCCAGCGCAAGGACAGAAGAGAAAGTGGGGGACGGATCACTCTCATTCATAATATTTTCAGGAAACAAGTATGCCGTAGTAAGAATAACTTGTCAATGAAAATTATTTTTAATGATATTTTTTTTATTTCGCAGTTTATGGAACGGTGGTATTATTATTTGAAAATAAAGTTATCCTGGCAAATTTATTCTATTATTCCATATTTATTTGGAATAACTTTAAATGAATATTAATTATTTAATATTTTAATCTAGGGGATATACTATCTGCTCTTCTCTTTCATGACTGAAAAGAAGAGACTAGACTAGAAACGATAATAAATTAATTAATAATTTTTGTAATGAATTCTCATTAAGATCAGAAGACGGCACTTGTTTACTTTAAGGGAAAGGTAAATTTCGTGAGTAGTTGGCGAAAGTGGGAAGCTCATTCATAAGTCTCTAGCATGTTGGTGGGTAGTAGGTCGTCTGTATAGCCAATGGAGGCAAGATGGCGGATTTAGTAAATGAAGTACGGATTGAGGAACGTTTAAAAATAAAAATAGGTAAGTACACATATTTTCCCTACGTAGTCCTGTTTCATTGAATGGTGTTATATTTACTGTACGTTTGATACAGTATAACAGTATTAGAAGTTAACATCTCATAGCCTGTTGATATTACTCCTTTTATAGGCATTTCTGGTCCAATAATTTCTGTATATCATTCTCAATTGAGTGTTTTTTCTTTGTTTTTGTTTTTCTGGATATGAACTCTACAATGTTCTAATTCTGTGGTAAATATTTGAGATATTGGTTACCTGTTTTTTCTAGATCTTGTTTTTTTTTTTTTTTTTAAATTTTAGTTTTATTATTTTCCTAACAATATATTTTTGAAATCTAATCAATTGACAAGTATGCAACTGATAATTTAGTGAAGCCAGTTTAAGTTAAGATTGTTACTAAAAGTTGCTCATGTTTTTGTTGTGATCTAATCTACATTGTATACTATACACAAACTGCTTTCAAATATTGTCCCAGCATTGAGTAAATAGGAAAAAGTCTTGATCCTTCTAAATTATCTATTCTATGTTAATATATTAATTTGTTTTGGGCTTATTTTTGTGATAATGTTTCATAATCTATTGATATTGTTTTCTAACTCTTATACGTTACTATAATGCTCTGTAATGATTAATTGTTCTAGACTTTTCATGTGCTTTTGTAATTAATAATTGAATAAGCAAGAATCTGTATAATCATTAGTAACATTAAATAATTTATTTACAAAGATATGTCTTATAAGACATCTACAGATAACATATCAATATTATGAAATAAAAAGCTCATAACTCAATTTCAGTAAACAAGAGAGACGTTTTTAAAAAAAAATGTATCAAATGATACTGAATTAATTAGTTCCTTTTGTTTTTACCTGATAATACCAACCTTACTTGTTTATAGTTTAGTTATAGATATATATACTTACATATTTCTCTTTGTGTACAGAGCTGTGGAGCTAGAGTTCCTTAGTTTAATAGATTTATGGAGTTACGAGGTTTTCATTGATTAGTATTGATATTTTAATCGTTAAAAATATATCGTGTATTGAGCAGTCTCTAAATTTCGAGTTTTCTGTACTAGTTCTTAGTGAGTAGTATTACTTTACAAGTGTTGCTTCACTTCACTTGCCTCACTTCACTGCACAAGATCTCATGATCACACTAGAAATGAAATTCTAAGAATGACTGAGAATTGGCATATTTGCGTTTATTGAGTCTGGTTTCTCATCTCATGTCAATCCATTGAGAGTTGACATGAGTATAACCTTTCTTAATTTAGAGAGCAACTTACTGACTGCAAATTTCCAACTAGTCTTATTCAATTCAAATCAGGGCCTTAATTAGCTTTAATTGCATTGGTGCTTTTGGCTTATGCTCTTTTAAAAGTGATAAATCAATCCTCAATGGGTCCCTTTCAATTGAGATCCGAGCCTTACCAGAGGAATTGTTCACTTCTACCTACTTAAGATATTCTTGTCTATTTTTCCTACTTCTTTGACATTAAATTAACTTTGTTACATATTTTTCATAACATGCTTGGCTGTCTTACAAATTCATTAACCATATCAAATTAGTATTATTATAAGATAAGAATGAAGTATCTGTAACAATGTGTAAACTAATTTTTTTTTATTGTAAATAAGTAGAAACTTTCCTTTCTTCTAGTCAGTCGAAATATTCAGAGATAACTCTTTAAAAATTCGGAAATTAATTGCGAGTTTTATTGCCAAAATTAGTAGACCCTCATGTTAGGATGGTTGGAGATAGATTCCTATCCTGAAGAGGATAGGAATCAAAAGACAATGGATGCATGCCTGAGATGTATTATATTATCATCTTGATAAATATGGGCGTAAGTAAAATATTTTAGACATTTATTAACTAATTTTGTCTTTTGATTTTAGGTGAAGCGAAGAATCTTCCAATCAGAAGCCATGGATCAGTTTCAGAAAGAGATGTATATTGCATTCTTTCATTAGATCAAGAAGAAATTTTCCGAACTTCAACTATAGATCGAACTCTGAAGTAAGAAAATAGTATATTGAATGTTTATGTCGCAACATGTATTTTTTCATTTTGAATCAATAGTGTATCTTTAAAATATTATTTAGAAACTTTTGTATTTTTCAAGACTGAATTGAGGAATAATATTTCTGAATTCAATTATGTTTTTACACAACCTTCAACTCGTTAATATTTAATCAATAGTTCTTGATTCAGAATGTTAGGTTTTATAGTAAATATAACACTGACTAATTGTTTTGTTTTGCTAACTTACCTCCTACAAACAAATCATCACTTCTAAAATGTTTATCAATCTATCAATTGTTACTATTAATATCAGTTGTTGTAATGGTCATCCAGAAAATAAAGAAACAATAAAAAGAAAAGATCCCAACATATTTCCCCTCAAAAAGGAAATAGCTCTTGGCTGGCAATCGACGTGGAACAACAACAAATGAGCAGATTGAAGTAAATCATAAAATCAGTAAAACCAAGGTCCACCTTGAACCGCCCTATTCGTAGAGAGAAAATTGCCTTAAATAAGGATAGGACACACAAACCTAATACATTCTTATGTGATAAGAATCTGTCAAAAGAACAGCCTGCACCAAAATGCCAACACTAGTACAGTATTTTCACAGTCAGCCACATTCTCCAAGAGTGTCCTTATTACGTATTAACTCTAACTAAATTAGGACTCATATAAAAATTATCAATAATTTTAAATAATGACAAAGTTAAAATAAGATCGGAAATGAATTTTCTTAAAGCTAATGATGTGCTAAATGAAATTTAAATTTGAGATTTTTTTTCTTACTTTTGAAAGAAAAAAAATTCGCATTGTTATTGTTGAGATTATCGAAATGAAGATTAGATAGGCATTGATGACCTCTGGGTTTTAGGCCTCTAAGTCCTAAATAACAATAAGATCTCAACACAAAACGTTGTTTACAAAGTTACCATACTTGGTCTATTTTTATCAATTTAATAATTGCCATTGCTTGTCTAGATGTTTATTGTAACACAGTATCAGTGTATCAATGCCAATGTTATAAACTCCTACTGCCAAAGACACTAGTCAGGATGTCACTGCCGCTTATTTTTTGAAATATTTTCAACTTTTTTTTTTTCATCTCATCCATAATTAGTGGTGGACTCCCACTCTTGTCTTCATTACTTCTTCTGGTTCACTACATTCACTAGTTCCCACATTCACTTCTGGTTCTTTGTTGATTAACATTATGTACTATTTTCTTACTTAAGACTTATTTATATTATTGTCACCTTGCACTTGCATTATTTGTATATGAATTCCAATTGGCTAAACATTTTATGCAATAATAAAACAAATTACTGTATGCACTTCTTATTTGGGGCTCCATATACATTCTAGAATAGACAGGTTTGACCCCACAATCAGAAAACTCAACTGACACTTATGTGGAAGGAGCAAACTAGTATTATTGGGATTATAGCCTTGAAGGACTGGCACCAAGGCTGAGGGACAATTGTTCTTTACTTTCTGAATGACAGTTTTATATTGTAAAAAGCACTGCTTTCATTTTATTTTGTAATTAATAAGTCATAATGTGCATCAGATATATGTTTAATTAATCTTGTTCTTTTACTTTTTACAGTCCTTTTTTTGGTGAAGAGTTTCAGTTTAATGTTCCCCGCAGATTCAGATTTTTAAGTGTTTATATGTATGACAGGGATAAAACTGAGAAAGTAATTGGAAAAGTTGCTATTAAAAGAGAAGATTTACAAATTTATCACAATAAAGATCATTGGTTTCAAATAAAGCCTGTGAATCAGCATACTGAAGTACAGGTAAATTTACTCTTGATTTCTGTTTATTGTAAATCAACAATGTTTTTCTTAAACAGTAAGTGTTTTAAAGGTTTTGTATATTTTTTGGTCAGTTAGTTATGTTCTATCATTGCTTTTACAGCAAGTGAAGAGGATACAATTGAAATATGGGAATGAAGAGTTTTGTTACCTTACCTTTTTTGTCCATTTTCCTTTTGAAATAATAGATTATTTACACTGCATCAAAAGTTGTCAGTGGAAGGTGGGGTTTCGGTTTTTATCCATTTTGGAACATGATTCTGCTAAATTTCGAGATGTCAGTTTTATATATATATATATATATGACTTTCTTCCCCCACTACGTTTCGGCTTCCCTAGTGGCCCCTGTTAAACTGAAATTTGGTATATAGAGTAGTTTTTCAGGAGGAACAATACTATTAAACTTTAGAAAAATTTCGTTAAAATTTGTCCATGTAAGAATGTCTAATTACTCCCTGGTTTTAAAGTATTACACATCTCCACAGCTCCTAATAGAGTTGGAATGTTGAAATTATGTATCTGCATTAAATTGAAGAAGTGACGTGGATCTCATCACCTGTCGCCATTTTGTTTCAAGATGATGGTGGAAAAATCCATTTCTCTGTAGACTACAGAACTAAAATGGCTGTAAAACTTTCCTGATGTAATCCCGATGAAACACTTTAAATTTATGTATATAACATACTTTCTCAAAGAAGGACTAGAAAAAGAGGTTTTTGATGAATACAAAATTTTCTTTGCGAATAACTCAAAAAGTATGAACTTTCCAATGATTTTTTTGGAACATATTTCACAAACATAAAAAAACTTTCATCGAAATCCGTCAAGTAATAACAACGATACAGCATATTGTATATAAGTTTTGCTTTGGAACAACTTATCTTTGCACCAAATTGTCCGATTTCAATGATTTAATACACTTTTATTATTATTATATTGTACTTTTATTTTAAATCTTTATTTGATACTTCTAAATTTAATACTTCTTGAGATTTTTGAAAATTCAATTTTACCGTTCTAACAATGATTCCAGCTTTTTTTTTTGTGAGATGTATTGCAGATATGAATTTAAAATGCTTTGAGAAGAAGACTTAAAGGCTAGGTTTCACTGAATTTGTGTGTATCGGTTTTTTAAAATTTTTTTTATATCTAATGTATAAATCAACACGTAGAGTACTAATTTTGGTTTGACAATTTTGATTATCTACATAGCTTAAATATAATATAAATATTTTTTAAACGTGCTAATATTTGCCTACAAATGTTTTACAATGTGGTAGGTAGTCGTTTGTGGGGATACACTTCATATATTGAAACTTTTACTTCTCTGTTTAACAACAATGTAATCCCTTTTTATCTTTTTAAAATTAAAAATAAGGAGAAAATAGAACCTCAATCATAGAGCTCAGATGCTCACACCTTTTATTTTTATTTTCACTTACCTGTATATAAAATATACTGTAAGGAAAAATATTGTGGTTGTGAAGAATTTTTAATTGAGTTTTCAGAAATACATGTTTTAAACCTTAAAATGTGTTTTTTAGGGAAAGGTTCATTTGGACATAAATTTTGAAAGACCTACAGATGAAAATAGTCCAGAGAAACTTATTGTAAAAGTTTCTGAGTGCAATGACTTAACATTATGTCATGGATGTTGTGATCCATTTGCAACCATATCAGTTCGTTTAACATCAGGTAGAGTGGAAACAAGAAGGACAAGGGTTAGAAAAAAAACTAACTCGCCACAGTTCGATGAGAAGTTTACTTTTGAAGTAAGTCTACATTTGTTTAATATATATCAAGGGTTTATTGCAAGAAGTCATTACTTAATTTTTGATGATATGTAAAAGGATTTTTGTCATTTTGAAGCTCTTACTGTGCTATTGCATCGATAAATACAGTTAAAATTCACCCTAGAGGTAGCCATTTATGGCCATGTTAATGACAGAAAAAGTCAGTATATTATGCTTGATGGCGACAAATATTTTTTAAAACAAACCAATTCCATAACATCAGTAATAGATTGCATAGAGAAGTAAGCCAAAAGGGTTTAAATACTTAAAATTATAAGGCCAGTAATAATGTTTCTGAGATTTCTTTACTTCCCAAACTTTCTAAGCACTTGTATTGATTAAAGCAAACAATATATTGTAATTTATTTTTTACAGCTTAGAAGTTGGAGGAAAAATAGTGATAGCCGGTATAATGTTGCTGATGTTGGTGATTGGTGTGAATTAGTTGTAACTTTATATCATGATGGTGGAAGCTCACAGTTTTTCTTAGGTGAAATCCGAGTGCCATTGGGTCAAAACATACAGCAATCTGCATGGTAAGACATTAAAATTAAATCATATCCTATAATTATATTTGAATTTTCTTCGGTTGAATTAGTTTGTTGCAAATGAGATTTTATAAATTTTTAAATAAATTATTATTTTTTTAAATTTTAAGAATATATTTCACACATCTGAAAGGAAGATTTTGTTATTATGGTATTTTAATATGTTCATGCTGGTGTGTAGAGGGCAACTAAGATAAGCCCGCTGGTAGGTAAAGGGGGAGAGAGGTGCACAGTGGCAAAATGTTTTCCTGCCGATCTCCCTTTTTTTTTGTCTTCACTCATTCGTATATACTTCTGTAATTATTTTTACAAGTTGAAATTTCTTTCACCATTCTTTTTCGTATATTTTATAAAATTAAAATTTAGGAGAAAATTGAACATCGAAAAATGCATGCTATACCGTTATGAGGTGATTGCTAGGATGAGGAGGGTAGGTAGAGCTTGAGAGAGGAAAGGCTGCGCGAGCTCTCTTCCTCTACAGACAAACTTATCTTTGATGCACTATACCACTGATTGCTCACATTTGATTGTGTTATCAGGTAGTGCATAACAGCAATTTATATTGAGATCGTTAAGTAACTAGAAACATTTTCATATTGTTGAAAATTAAAATTATAAAAATTTAATGTAGTTTAATTTAGAACATTTATTTTTAATTTCAATTATAATAATAATGTATTATAAACATAACTTAGATTCAGTAACATAAACATTAAAAAAAAAAACACCTGTACCACTACAACCCATAAAGGGTCTTGGGTTCAGTACTATTTAGTAAAAGCACTTTCTATTTCAACGGTTGTGCAAGGAGGTGATTTGACAGAATTCACGCTCAACCGCCAGGTTTTCCCTCTTAATTAATTATTTAATTAAGGGTACCCACTTTATAGAGGCTGGGTGTGCCCCAGGAAGGTCTCCCGACCCAGGAGAGCCCCATGAGCCGGGGTTCAAACCTGGGACTTTTAGGATTGGAAGCTCAGTGCCCTACCACTGAGCTACTACCCCACTTCCAAGTTTAACTAAAAGTATTTAAATCCATGGAATCAAGGCAATTATTCATAAATATAGAAAATCAAATTAAGGTTGGCATAATATATTGTAATATAAATTTAATTAAAGATACATTAGTCTCTGAGCGGGGTGCCAAAATATATAAATAGGAGGTTAGTATCAGAATTTATTGAGAATCAATGGGCTGACCAGGTGGAATAATGTAGATGTTGGTTGGTGGCATGATGAGACTGAGGTCTTTAGTCTCCATCGAGGCACTGCTGCTGCTTCAGTACATGTAAGTAGTGTTATGTGCTGAAAATATGATATGATATGCTGGCATGATGACTTCCATGCTACCTCTTCCTGGCTAATTCTTTAAATTGGTCTAGCTAGACGTGCTTGTGTAAACTTGGTCATGGAGACCATGTTGTATACTCTCTTCCCAGGCTGAGTTGTACTTCGACCTCTCTGGTCCCAGGTCACCAGGTAGGGCCAGTTGAGATTCTCATCTTCCCGCTGATTGTTGGTGCTTCTTTGACCAGCAATAGATGGTACTCCTCTCTTATTACTAAATTAAAGTCATCGTTTGACGTGCTTTTTAACATAGATAAAAAAGATCCAAAGAGCAATAAAAACATTGCTTTATCTTTACCAATGAATGTTTTTTTTATTTATGTATTTATTTTTTTGTTTAAATTTTTACACAATATTATCATCTTTCATGGTAATAAGATGTATTTTTAGGATTAAACGTGTTTCCTTGAGAATCTATGAAAAATAATTTTAAAAAGATGGTTTCATAAATAGAAATATTTTCGTTTTTAAATCTAAACAAAACGTAGTATATATCCCATGGTAACCATGGGACCTTAGAGGCATTTTTGCAAAAATTATTATTTATCTCAAAATTGGGATATTTTGGGGCTTTTTTTTTCTAATGTACCAGTCTAATGTAACTTGCCTTATAGGCTATACAGGATTTTCCTGGGCCGGAGGATGAGGGTGGAGAGTTTAAAAACCCTCCGGCACCGGGACGTGAACTCTTACTTTTTTAATCTCATAACTGCGGTTATCTGGTTGTGCGGGGAAACTCGCAGTGCTGTGTACACGCGTTAGCCCATTCGCCCACCCCAACCCTATTTTTTGGGGGCTTTGAAACGCAGGAACGGATATCTATAGTTTTTGGAACTAGTCGAAATCTTTAAAACACAATCTATCCCTTCTTGATTCAGGGACTTTTAAAATCATCTGTTTTGATACCTGCCGATTTTTGCAATGACTTCTGTTTGAGTTGTAAGAATTTAAAAATGAAAATTGAAATTTGTCACTTCAATGCATCTAAAATGATAATCCACAAAATGAATTAGTTATATACCTATACCTATACAATATACTAATATGATATAGAGATGGTTGACCGTGATATAATATGAGGAGTTGATCGGGGAGTGCGGTCAAATAAATACTAAATTATAGAAATAGTATTATTTAATTATTATGCCGACGTTTCAACTCACCTTGCAGGTCTTCATCATGGCGTGGGATGTGGCACCAAAATATACTAATATGGTTAGTTTAGACTGTTTAAAGTTATTCATAACTGCAATCCTTGATCATCTCTTCTTTCATTATAATCACAGTCAATTAAATATCTAATATTAAAAAATAAATAAATAAAATGGTCTTTTATAAATATATTGTTTAAATGGTATTAACTAACCTATTATAATGCTCTCAATATGATTTTTGAAAACATACTTTTACTTTATTAGGTACCTGTTACAGCCTGGTAAAAGAACATATGTAAAAAGTAAACCAGAATCTCTTTGTTCCGATATGGGCTCCCTACGTTTAAAGATACATTATACCAGGGATTATGTCTTTGACAAACGTATTTATGGAAAATTAAGGGAACTTTTATTAAAATCTTGTTCAGTACAGGTAATATATTGTTTCCAATTTTTTATTGCTCTTATTATATACTTTTAAAATTCTGAATCAAAAGTCAATAATACTGAAAAAAAGAAATAGAAATATTGTTTTTAGTTGTATTTTCTCCGGAAAATGAATTCAGTTTGTTATAAATTTCATTAATTTTATTCTTAAAGCCTATAACATCAAGTGCTTGCTACTTATTGGGTGAAATAATTCCAAACAAATTTGATGCTGCTCAGCCACTTGCAAGAATTTTCCTTCATCATGGTATGATTGTTCCCGTCATGAAAGCTTTGGCTGTATGGGAAATATCAAAAATTACGTAAGTATATTTTACATAATAATATTTTTCATGAAACTTATAAGTTATATGCTAAAGTTGAAGGAATTATGGTTCTTTAACTAATTGTTATGTTTATTTATTTTTTTCAGTGATGCAAATACAATATTTCGAGGAAACACACTTGTTTCAAAAATGATGGATGAAACCATGCGGCTGGCGGGATTAGGATACCTACATGAAACACTAAAAAAACCTCTTGAAACTGTATTAACAGAACGCAAATCTTGTGAAATAGATCCATCACGTATTTCTGACTCCAGCACTATCCATACTAATCTGAACAATCTGAAAGTAAGTTGCTCAGCTTTGTTTTATAAAAAAAATTTCATGAGTACCTATTGTCGAATATTTTATTTATTAAATTGAATAGAAATGTAAAAAAGAAAGATGATTCAGAGGGTTGTGTTGTTTCTGCTATTTTTTTTAGTTTGATATTTCATAATTTTTTTTTTTTTTATTGTAATCTCTAAAGACACGATTTTCATGTCATCTCACTTTTTATTCTCTAGCATGTAATTATTTAAACCCAATTATCTATTCACGTCTCGATCTATTATATATTAAATATTGCATATTTTTGAGTAAATTACATGATTTTATTTCTTGTTGCATGAAATTGCATAGCTTGCTCTTTTAGTTGTTTTTTTTATTTTCTTTTTAAAAGATCTCAAAATTAACGTTCTAATTGTCTTAATATCCATTTTCATTGGGATAATCATTTAGTAATAATATTTATATAATATAGTGGTTAGCTGTTTGTTGATGTGTTGATTTTTTGTTACAGGAATATGTCGAGATTATTTTTCAGGCAATTGTTAATTCAGCTCTCAGATGTCCTCCAGTTTTATGTGAGCTTTTTCATGAATTGAGACAGATAGCTTCTTCTCGGTTTCCAGGTAATTCTAGGAATAGTTAACCACCATAGCTCTTCCAAAATAACAATTAGGTTTATATACCCTTATTATGATAGTAATACCATGTGCATACCCTTATATGCTGAAAAAAAAAAAAACTGTAGTGTTGAGGGTTGTTAGTATTACTGTTAACCATTAACCACAGGAGTGGAATTAACACTCTTGTAGCGCTAAAAAAAATTCATTGCATTCTTGTTGGGTTAACGAAAAATTCACAGCTTTCCTGTTTTGAAAAAAACATTCTTAGTGAAGTTATCCTTAAAGTGGTATTATAATAGAATCATTAACCATTTTTGTGCAATATTATACTATCTAATATAAAGTTGCTCAGATTTCATCTGAAATTTGATTAATAGTTCAGTTATTAATCAATATAAAATTATTAATCTTTAGAATGTCTATTCACCAAATTATTCAATTTTTATCCTTAATATTAAATATTGGAATCAGATATTATTTCCACAGTAAATCGTGGTGCCGTGTCCTCTAATTTTGAGAATCCTTGTTCTGAGTACTTAAAATCACATTCAGCCTGTCACTGCTCTGATGCTGCTTGTATAAGTAGCACCAATGTGCTATTGTATCATGTAAAATAATTTAATCAGTAAGATAAAGACCACCATTGTCAACACTACTGAGTTTGTTCTTTGAAATTCATAAGTTACATAATAAACCTTAGTTGCTTTATATGAAATAAGCCTAGATAAGTGCATTTATGAATTATATTTTTATTTTTACTAAAATAGCCTTATTATTTTTTTTTTTTTCTTGAAGATAATAAGGAAGTGCGTTATTCAGTCATATCAGGGTTCATCTTTCTTCGATTTTTCGCACCTGCTATCCTAGGACCAAAACTTTTTGATCTGACTAATAAACATATAGTAAGTATATAAATCTGTAGTAATATTATTTAAAGTCTGAGAGTAAGGTTTATTACCTGAAAAAGTAATTTTTTATCAGCACATTCATACGAGTGTTTTTTTTTTTTTTTTAATAACCAATTCACTATTATCAAAAAACTTAACCATCCGAACAGGGTTTCTAAAAGTCGCAACATGTTGCAAATTTGTTATGAAGAAATTATCTTCACCTTTCTTAGTTGATCAAAGAAGTACTAGCTTTCAAAACTTGATTTTTGGTCATTGTGGCCACTGGCAATATTTGATATTTACAATATTAATTGTATAAAATATTGATATGAATAACTTGCAGTTTTGTTCAATTTTTCCTATTGATTGTGTTAAAAATTATAAATAATAATCAAGGTGACATAAACACTGTTAATGGATTCACGGTTTATAATTTTTTAATATTATATTATCAAATTTGTATTGTTCTTGCTGTTATTTAAACTATATTTAAAAAAGAAAATATAGAAAACAATGGTTTTCGAAAAAAGGTGTGACAGAAATGATTGATTAAGTATTTATAAAATTAATTATCAAATAATTTGAATTAGTTATTAGTTAAAAAAAAACTGAAACCAATTATTAAAATATGAAGGAAATATAATTTTGCTAATAAAGTATAAACATTGTTAAACATGAATAATCAAACATACATAATTAAAAAAAAAAAAACATTCTGAAAAACAGGAAAGTAGGTTTACAAAAAATATTGAGGTAAAAAAATAAAAATTGAGTAGGAACATTAAACCATAATTTTTACAACAATTTAAATTTAAGAATAAATCACTCAATAACAAGAACATTAATATGTTTGTGAAGAATGATAATTTTTAAATTTCTTTAAAATATTACTTCAGAATTCAGCCTAATTTGGTTCATTCTCAATAATTTATGATATATAAAAAAAATGGAATCTTTTTAATATCACTTTCATAAAAATGTAAATATAACAAGATTATTCATTTTAGTTCAATTTAATTAAAATAATTTACTTTTTAAACGTATTAAATATGAGTAAAAAAAGGGATTAAATAAGTTATTTAGTTGTCACAGATTTGATAATGGGTGGAGGTGGAGGGGATGGGGCAAAGCCGTTATCATGTTATTTTAGAACATAAAGAGAATCATCCACCTTATGCATTTTTATCAGTTGTAAGTCTTTAAATTTGGTAAATACTGCAGAACAGCTTTTTATGGCTAAAGTACTATTTTAACCAAAAAAACTTCCAGTAATAAAATGTTGTAAAACATATAGCAGAATAGAAATAGACCTGATTTTGTAATACCTAGGATGTAAACCATACTGAGATGTATTAAAATCATAAAAAAACTCCCACAATTGAATTTATTGGACTGCAAGAATGGCGTATAGTATAAACTAGTATTAACAGTTTCTCGAAAATTTTAAAATTATATTTGCTTGTTAAATAATCTCCAGATATTAATGGGGTTTTACTTTTTTTTTTTAACTTTAAATAAAATTGGTTAATTACATATTTAATTAAACATAAAAACATGCATAATAATAATAGTTCATGAAGTTAATCAATTAAACAAATTCTAAATGAAAAACAGATAGTTTATCTCCTATAATGCAAAATTGCAAAAAAAAAGTTCTGCTTAGTGCATAATTTCTAAAAATGATCTATTTTAATGTATGATTGCAAAAAAGATTGCAGGATTTTGTATTTCAAACTTGCTTTCCAAGAGAGTTTCAAATCTCAGCCCTATTTATAATAAACCAAATTTATTTATAACAATTACCTCGAGCCAGATATCTATCCTTTCATGATAAACTTCAGTCCCATTCAAATCCGCTTGTTTCCACTCTTGCTTCCTCCTCTATCCCTGATAATCCTCCTAGGCGTCTGAAAAGAAGATGGCCTCGTGATCTTCTTACTTAAAATTATTTAGAGAGTGCTACCATTGGGTAGTATCTTTTCAAGCCTGTACATGCCATTATTTATATTTGCACATATTTACTGGTTGTATTTGTATACAGTTGTAAATTCCATTAAATAAACAAAAAAAAAAAAATTATAACAAAATGGCAAAGCAAGTGAGTGTATTATCCTAACTCGCATACCAGAAAAATATGAAAACTGGTTTTAAGTTCAATCAAGAGTTTAATTTCAAAAATGTTATAAATAACAAAGGGAGCTGATTGTTGCATGATCTCTCTCTAATGGATAAAAACTATATTATTGATCACTAAACGTACTTGTGTAAACAGGTCTTTATTAATGTGCAAATCCGTTCACAATTTAGTAGTGAATTTATAAGGTTAATATATTCTGGTAAATTATGTATAGGTACTTAGTGTTCTAGTTCGGTCTATTACCTCATAATATTGTCTAACTCTGCTTTAAAAATTTCTATACATATTGATCTTTTTTTTTATTTCAGGATTCTCAAATCAATCGAACATTAACTCTTATATCCAAAACTATACAATCTCTATGTAATTTAGTTACATCAAGAACTACAGCATGTAAAGAGCAATACATGTGCTCAATGTACCAAACATTTTATACCGATATGCATGTTACAGCTATTAGACAGGTTTGTATATATCCTAATTTTTACTATGTAGCATTTTATAACATATTGTCAGCTTATTACAAAAAGTCTCGAAGTATATATATATTTTTTGTTGGAGCTAAATTTCTAAGTATGTTTATGTGTATTTTGAACTTCATTCATAAATACATTATGTACTTTAGAATTATACAACCTTATTATATACCAAAAAGAGTTAAACTGAGTCCAAAATGTTCTGATTTCTTAGGGACAAAGGTCATCAAAGTGGTTATTGATTTAAGTTTATTGGATTCTCAATGGTAGACCATTTGTATAATGAGGAAAAAATAGGTCTGGGATGACGGTATAGAATAACTTAAATTAGTGGAAACTTTATTTTACCTAGACCTAATTATACAGGCCTTCAACAGTGCTAGAAAGAATAATATAAATAAATCTGTAGAATATGTTTAATTTTTAAGAGTAATTAATAGAGTTAATAATAAGTAGTGAAGAAATATGAATATAAAACAAACTAACTGAATAAATAACATAGAATAAGTTAAAATTGATAAGAATATGTGCAGATAAGGAAGTAACAAATACCATCATGAATATTATAGTCTAACCAACCAAGTATGAATTTAGTCAAACCAAGTAAAGATTGAAAGAGAAAGGCAGTGTATTAAAAAGTATGGAGGGATGAGACCTCAATGGGGTAATACCAGCACTTATAATGGTAATAGATCTGGTATCTTCATATGAGGAAGATTTCCACTCACTTCTTTGTTCATCCCTATATAGTTTTTAATACTTTCCCTTTCTCTTTCAATCTTGGTTTCGTTATACTATATTCATGATGAAGTGAATCGACTGTCCTATATATGGTATTTGATAATTCCTTATCTGAATATATAGTTACCAATTTTAACTTACTGTGTAATTGTTAATATGGACATCTGTCATTTTTAATAAGTTAAGAAAAAGCCAATTTTCTGTAACATAGCTTCAATTTTAACTAATTATAATGATTTTTTTTTTGCATGTTTCATCTTGAACATACTTAAATAACATAATCAGAAACAGTAATTTGAGTTGAACCTATAAAACAAAAATTGACTTTTTCTTCATTTTCTAAAAATGACAGATGTCCGTCTACAGATAACCGTCTTTGATATGAAGCCACTCATATACTTGAATTTTCTTAATACTTTTTATTAACTCTGTTAATTATTTTCTTAATGTTTTTATCTGATTAATCTTATATTAGAACTCTTATATTATTCTTCAGTTTTATTCATCTTGTTCTTTTTAGTCCTGATTAAGACCTGCATAGTTGGGTTAAAATGTTGGTATAATAAAGTAGTTTCCGTTATTTTTGTGTAATTTTATTATGTTATGTTACTTAATGACTTTTAATATGTATGAACCAATTTAACTAGCCAACAATATGTATATATTTTTTTTATTTTCTTTAGTATATTTATATATCTTTTTTCATGTTCCAGTTTCTTGAAATTATTTCTGCATCTTCCAGCCTTTCACATGACAAAAATAATAGTAGAGTCATTCTTAAAGAAGGGTAAGCAGTAACATTATTTGTTACTATAAGTTATTATTAAATTATTTAAATGTAACAATAATATTTAATATATTTCTTTTTTTCAATGCTTTCATGAAGGATTTTGTTAATAAATGGGTAAAGACAATAATTGATTTATTGGAAGAACTAATCTATCTGGTAATTAATTGTAGCTCTTGGATTTTTCTAATTAGAAACTATTGTTGGAGTGGTGTTTGTAGTATTGGTTTGTCTAATTATAAATGTTTGCCCAATAGCTTAAAATTGGTTTTGAGGATTGAACTACATTATAGTTCTATGTTATAGTTCGAGAGATTTTTACTCAACCATAAAATTTAAATTTGATTTTGGTATTTAGATCAGCTATAGCCAATAGTATTTTGATCTACCTGGTCCATTCATAAGTTCACTACCTTATATTTATTATTATTATAAAGAAAAAACAATTTCCATATTAAATTTTAAATCTGAATTCAATTAATAAAAGGATATTGCTGGTTAAGTATCATTTTATTTGAGACAGCCGTATTAATTACCTGAAAGCAGGTCTGATTTTCTTTGAATAATTCTGTGTTTACGTTTAGTGTTTGTTGTGTTGTTCTTATTCAGCTTATATAATAAATATGTTCATTTTTTATAAACAAAATAATCTCAGAAGTTGTTGAATATTTGCTCTTAATTATATTGTTGCCATGTTTTATTTTTTGTCTACCCCTTCCTTGCCTAGGCTATATGAGGATTTTCTGGGCCCAAGGGGAGAGGGCAGGTGATTTATGCCAGAGTTAAATCCTCCCCCACCAGGACGCGAACTCGTTATTATTTTATACCTTTTAAACTACGGTGTATCATGTTGTCGGTTACTGGGCAACGAGGTGTTAGCACATGCATTAATCATTATATTTTATTCATGTTGATCATTATTATAGTTGTGCTACAACCCTGAAGCTTCCATGCGTTTATATGGTTGAATGTTATCATAAAACCTTATCCTATTTTCTTGCATCAGTTGTTAAGCAATCGAACCATGTTAATCTGCCAATCTCTTTATGTTCATGCATTGATTCTGTCATTAGGACCCTAAAAAGTGCATATATAAGCTTACTGTGCGTATATAACCTGCCCGACAAAGTGATTTAATTCTATCTATGTTGTAATGTCTTTATAACTGAATAGGTCATAATTCAGATTGTTCATTCTTTGCTGCCATTCTTCTCTGTTATTAGCAGTACTAGATGCAAAATCACTTAAAACTGCATGAACAACTTTATATATATATATTTTCATATCATTATATGTATATATGAATGAGTTATTGCTAACTTATTCCATTTGTTTTTGGATATTTATTTACTGTTTTGTTTGTTTTAAATAGAGTTATGACTAAAAGAGCTCAAGGAAGGAAAAGATTTGGAAGGAAAAACTTCAAGCAAAGATATTTCACTCTTACTACCCAAGATCTTTCATATTCTAAACAAAAAGGTAAATTTCTTTTGATTGTTGGAAGACAGTGATAAATTACAAGGATAAAATTATATTTTGAAGATCCTTATAATATTTTTGAAAAATTCACCCATTAATCTGATTATTTTTATTTAATTTTTAATATAATCTCGTTCTTGTTCTTCCCTTCCTTACCTTTTAGGCTACACGGGCTTTTTTTCTGGGCCTGAGGAATTATGCTGGGTTAAAAGTCCCACCGGGCACCAGGATTTGAACTTGTGATTATTTTTAATTACAAGCGTTAGCCCGCTTAGCCACTCTCCCTACTTTCTTGTATCTATGGGACAACAAAACATTGTTAACTTATGGCAGTCTATAGATCCGGAGAGTAGGGTGGATGTGGCAGGTTCATATCCAAGCTCCATCAGTTTTTGTGACGAGACATGTGACCTGGCGTTGTCATGTAACAAAATGGGCCCCTTCCGATTGTACAAAGATTCTTCATTATTGCATTAATTTGTTTACAATACGATTCGGCATTGATGGTTTCTCCAGGATTTAAGAAGCTGCAGTGTATCAAACCAAATGAAGCACACCAAACAGAAACCATCACCCTTTTTTGACGAATTGTGGGCTTTGGAAAATGTTCTGCTGCTTCTCCTTTGTCCAGCCACTGTCCAGTACATCTATTGTTATCGTAAAGTATCCGACAAACTTCGTAACACTGTTTTTTTTTATGTTTGTTCAATGTGTATGGAACCAAACTTTCAAGCTTTTTTACCTTTCCAATTGCCTTGTGCTCATCGACGATGGATTTGCTAAGGTTTCCCTGCAAGTTCTCGAACAGTTGTTCTGGGGTTTTCTTCCACCAAAGCCCGCGGAACATTGTCATCAAGAGAAGAAGTCCTTCCGCAACTTCCTTGGTCTTCAAGGCTGAAGTCTCTCTCCTTTTTTAACATACCTCATACTTTCCTATTTTTAAGTCAATAGGTTACAAAAAAAGAAGAAACAAATTTGAATTTTGAAAAGTAAACGCACTATATTAAAAATTAAATTATACACTATATAAATTAAATAAAGCTTTTAACATATTATTTTGTTTGAATAACTCAAGTAACATCCCAACTATTGTTTATGATTTAAGATATGAGGTTTAATCAAACCAAAATATTTGCTAATAACATACGGTACCTGTGAGTGAAGATTAATTATAATTAGTGCTCTTCTTGAGAAAAAATTGTATTTATTGATTATATTTAATTTCAGGTAAAGAACCTTTATGTACCATTCCATTGTCTGATATATTAGCTGTGGAAAGATTACAACATGATTCATTCAGAAAAAGCAACATGTTTCAAATTGTTCAACCTACTAGGGTCTTGTATATACAGGTATGTTGAACTCAATTTTTAGTTTTTTAATAGTGCTGTGTGCAATCATTATTGTTTCATTACTTCTTTAATTTATTACTACAAATATAGAATAAAATCCAAATATATGTTTGACATATAGTACATTTATAAAGAGAACTTTAATTAATAATTATTTTCTCATCTGAATTATGGGTAATAGTTTTAATATGTAAGTGAAAGTAAAAATCAATTAGTATTATAAATTCAAGGAATTGAGTTTGAAATAAATAATGTGAAACATAATGTTTTGAACTAATTGGGGAACATATATTGGAACTGAAGGCTCATATATTGTTTGTTTGTGTAAATAACAATTATGTTGTAGTAAATGGAAAAAAAACAAAATTTTTGTTTATAATTTTTTTTTTATAACTATATTAATACATAATTTATATATTTTTTTAGGCGAGTAATTGTGTGGAAGAAAAAGAATGGGTAGATCTTTTAGGAAAGATGTGTTATACAAATCATCAGCGATTACAGACTTATCATCCTTCTGCATTTGTTAATGGGCATTGGCAATGGTTTGTTTATTTTGTCAACTATTTCTATTAACTAGTTGTTTTCAATTTGACATCTTTTATACAAAATTGACACTAAATATTTTCCTTTAACCAATGAAGGATTGGAAATAGGTATTAAATTGGGCATAAGTTAGTTTCTCTGTTATTCTTACTGGTAATTTAATAAATAACATGCAATCACCAAAATCTGATTGCATGGGATCTCTCATCTCACCTAATGAATCTGAGGTTCAATGCTAATGATGCCCAAAAATTTGCATGATTATTTCCTTTTTACTTTTATTACTTTTCAGTCTACCTCTTATGATGTTGACCAGTCAGCATGGTGCTGATTACTTTTTTAATCATTTGAAAAGTAGTTAGTTATGTAGTTTATTTATTTGCTTAACAAGATAAATGCCTGTATATCCTAACTATTTTATATTATTATAATTTTAGCAGTCAACTAGGTTCTAGTTCACATAAGTTCCGCACGGATTATGTGTGGCTCACAATCACTTCGATCACAGTTGTTCTTAAAACAGTATAATGTTCCCGAATGTTATGCCGTCAGCTGTTGTCCTATCCACACCTTCCTCATGAATAATGGAGATCATGAACAACAAAAAAGAATATCATAAAATAGCATTCAGTGACAATAATTAAAGGTTTTGATGTATTACTATTTATTTTCCACAACTGCATAATATATCGCTACTGTTAATGCAAAATGTTGTTTATAAAAATTGAATTGTTTTTTTTATAAAAGAGCATAAAAACCTATTATTTTTGTATGTTTTATTAGTAAAATTTCATATTTTATTTCCCTATAACATTTTCCATAGTAGCAGAATATTTATTGCAGTTGCAGACTACAAAATGTCATCTTCAGTACTCAAAAGTTTCTTTCTTTTTCTTCCTGAGTAATAATTGTTATATGTGTAATCTAGGTAGTTTATATATATATATATATATATATATATAAATTAGCTTCAGGTCCTTATGGTTTTCAATTAGATCAAATTAAGAAGTGTTTATTGTCGTGTTCCATTGTACTAAAAACTGGTTTTGTTTTGTAAAAGCAAAAGAAGTTTATAGTCTACCAACAGCTAACACTACATAAGGTTATATATATATATATATATATATATATATATATATATATATATATACCTAAAATTCTGACAAGCTCTTCTCTCCAAAATTAAATCCTGGATCCACTAGTGCTTAGCACAAATCAAATTAACATAGAAAATTGTTACATAGAACCTTTTTAGAGATATGTATAAGTTCAATTAAGGTTGCATGATGTAGCCTAAACGTCTAATATAATTCCTTGAGTGAGCCAACGGCTCATATTATATAAACATACATTGTTAAGAGTACGAAAATACTTATATGGCAGTAAAGTTATTAGGAACTGGCTCAGAGATCAGTTGCATTCGTTCTCGTTCGGATAAACCCGGAAACATTCGGCTCTCCATGAACAAGTGTGATTATGAACCACACGTAATCCGTGCGGAACTCATAAGCACTAGTACCATCAACTATATCTCCATCTATTACTTATTTTAATAATTTGCTTTGTAACCATTCCAGCAATTGTTTACATTCAGTTTTGGCACTGTGATATTATGACTTTAATTATATTTACCAGATTCTGCTCCCATAATTTGAAGTTATTTAGCTGTCCGAATTTTTCATTTAACACTTCTGCCAGAATATTTTAGTTTTTAAGAAGGCATTCTCCCTTAACATAAGTGACAATTTATTCTTGTCTAGCAATTCAATTGTTAAATATTAAATCAATATTCTTGTAATGGCTGTGTTCAGGTAACAGATATCTTTGAGTATATTGCAAATGCATTCATGAAAGCACTGTATGGGTGCTGCCATCTGTGTAGTGAAGGTTGGTGTTACTCCTTCCATACCATTGTGGGATTTAGAGCAAATAGATTCTAATCAAGAGATCTATCTGGTGTATCTGAGCTCAGCCATTATTATTGATAACTGTAAATATTATTACTGATTACGACAAAATTTGTTGTTTTTTTATTTTACTTTTAATTTTATCATATTACCTTGGTTTTTATTTTTATTATGTAATTTTTTTGAAATTAGTTTAAAAACTATTTATTATTAAAATCTAATCTTTTTAATTTTTATTTTAGCTGTTTTTCCCAAGCAGAATCTGCTGAAGGGTGTTGTGATGTTTCAAATGAAACTCAGCTTCAAATGAACATAGATTCTGATAGAGAATTAGCTCGTATTCATTCCCTTATAGTCGAGCATATGGATAGAGTACAAAGCATTATAAGTAAGTTAACCATTTAATATTTAAATTTATACGATTGAGTATAGTAGGTTTTGTTGAATTTTATTTTAGTTCTTTAACTAATTATTTAGGAATGTTTTGTGTGTGTGTATATATATTGTTTTCTCGATCTTTTATCATTACTTCCTTCCCTGACAGTCTCTCTTTTCCACTTAAATAATGTGTGGTGAATGAAAGACCAATTTTATAACATATAAATCCATGGTTCATGTATGTATTGAAACCTACCCCTTAGACCTTGTCAGGTATAGGTGACTCCATACTTGTGAAGACCAATTCATATACATATGAAGGAGTAATATGAACCAATAGTCAAACTTGATACATACAGGTAACGGTAGAGCCAAGTATGTTAGAAGTACCACTTCTATTATAGCATCTGTGACTTGTAAATGAGGAGACTTACCCTCAGAACTTGCAAAGTTATAGGAAAGTCCACATTTGTGAAAAACAATTCACAAACATGTAATCTTGAAGGTTACATAAAACATTATTACTAAGACACATAAAAAGAAGATTATATACCCTAAAATCTTGAAGTAAATAAAAAAATATTATTAAGTTTTTGTATAATGTTTTCTGTATATTAATTGTTTTATCACTCTATATCATCCATTTACCTTCTTAATTTTTTTCCAGATTTTTGTGAATCTAGATCAGTTCTTGGAACTAGAGCAAATGATGGGGACTTTGTTGGAACTTGTATCATAGAAGATCCTGCATCTTGTTCCAAAACCCTTTTTGATTTACGAGATGCTGCAGTTGATCTTCAAACACAAACTAGAATTTATCTAAGGAAGATAGCCAGAGAGACCAAATATGGAAGCAAGTAAGTTATTTTTCTGTATAATAATTAATATTAAGTTCTTAATTTTCATGACTATCCTCTATTAGACTTCATATCTTATATATCATGAAGAAAATTTAAGGAGTTCAAGTTTTGTATACATTCTCCTTTACTTGAATAATTATTATCTGGAAAAAATGGTGTAATTTGAAAAAAGATTTATCTAAAATTAATTTTGCATAGGCTCCTTTGGATGACTCAGAGTCACAAGTTAAGACCCCTAACATTTCAAAGTAAAATATAAAACTTGTTTATTTTTACTTTCCTATTATTACTAAATAAGGAAAGTGCTATAATCAATCCAATTTACAGTTTATGGTTTTCAACTGTTTATTATGTTTCAAAATCCCTTTAATCCAAAAAACTTATTTTCAGTCATTAGCCTATGTTTTCTTTTCATGCCACTATTATCTCATGATTAAGTGGATTGGATTTGTTTTTTCATTTTTCAGTTCCTATGTGTTTTTCTATAGACTATCACAAAATGGCTCTAACGAATTTGATTAATCTTTCTCAAAGTTTTCTCCTTAAATTCCTTTAACTTGACTTGCATAGTGCATAACCAAGATAATTAAGAAAATGAGTTGAGATGAAAAACTAATTTAGGACAAATTTATTTATAAATATATATAATCACTTAAGAAGTTCATTCATTAAATTTAGTACAAACAAAAAATAAGTATTAACTGACCCAGATGGAAAATAAGTTTATATTGTTCTGAACTCTTCACTCCAGAAAAATGTGCAAGGCAAAGAAATTATTGCAATCTGTTCTATTTTTCGAGTTAATTGTTAACAGATTTACGGTTTCATAATTTCATCCTGATATCTCAACCTTCAAACAATTCAAATACATCAGATTTTAAGATATTGCATATCGTTTATCTACTTACAGTGGTGTGAAAAAAATCTTTGAATAAACCAAATTTTCAATTTAAAAGTGTTTTTATCTTCTTCATTGTAAATTGATTTAACCATGCAGACATTGTATTGGGTGGATCATAAGTTCGTTAATTAGGTTTTTGTTGGTAGTGGGAATTGTTTTAGAATATGTTCAGTTCTCTTTGCCTTATCTGAGAATAATGATACTTATCAGAAAAGTCAAAGTCTGCTCTTCAAAACTGTTGTGTTTGGTTTCAATGGCATTAGTTTTGTTTGTGTTACAGCATAGTGAATATGTCAAATTATAAAGTGCATTTTCGACATATTTTGCTTTTTTATTTCTAAAAAGCAAGTGAGCTTCAGGGGCCACCGAAAGATATGTTGGGTATACGGGGACGATGCCTTAACGGTACATACTGCTCAAAAATGGTTTGCCAAGTTTTTTTCTAGTGATATGAGTCTCGAAGATGCACCCCGCAGCAGTTCTCCCACAGATTCGAGTGATATCAAGACTAATCGAACAAGCTTCAGGTACGAGAAATTGTGGAGACACTGAAAGTAAGATTTGGAACCGTTCAAAGTCATTTTAAACAGCTTAGCTGCAAATCCCGTTTTGATGCTTGGGTGCCACACTAACTGACTGAGGCAAACCTGACCAAAATAATTGTGACAGCTGATGAAAAGTGGATCATCTACGACAATGTAGTGTACTGTTTTATGACTTGCTTCGACAAGGAAAAACAATTGATTCGAAGATCTGCAGCTAACTTAATTTGACCATTACTACCGTAATGCCCAGAACTAGTCAATCGCCAAGTTGTTGTATTTCATCATGACAACGCCTGACCACACTCTACAATAATCACACGACAAAAGTTAGTGTAACTCGGCTGTGATGTTTATTACACCCAACCACATTCTGCCTCTTTCCGAAACTAAATATTTCAAATATTGTTTCATCTCTCAAATAAATTTTTTTCCATTCTTATGTCAAATTTGTGTGTTCTTTGGTAAACTTAAGCTTTTTTTTTTTTTTTTTTTTTTTTTTGGTCCTTCCCTTCCTCGCCTTTAAGGCTATACGGGATTTTCCCGGGCCAGGGAGTGTGGGCGGGGATTTAAAAGACTCCCCCGGCACCGGGACGCGAACTCGTGACTATTTTTATATCTTTAATTCATATGTCAGGTTGCCAGGCGACGGCGGTGCAGTGCACACGCTTTAACCCATTCGGCTACCCCGCCCACGTGGTAAACTTAAGCTGTTTTTGCTTGTTCAGAAATGGTAAAGGAACTTCTAGGAACTCCATCTTTATGATAAAGTGATAGGAGTTTTCTTTCTGATCAAGAAGGACAAAACTTCGGTCCTTGTAGTTCTCTGCATTTTTAGCGGTTGTGGAAACAGTAATTTTAAATGTTGATCAGCCACAGGACTATGTTTTTTAAACCTCCTTGAAGATTTAAAGTCTGCAGTTTGCTTGGTTTTTAACTATTTTTTTATGATATGAATTCCAGAAACAGAACCTTCAACTACTTTTTGGAATACCCTGATTATTAGACCTCGTTGATATAAAATTATAAATCAAAATGTCATATTTTGCCATTTTCTGAAACAAAAGTAACATTAAATAGAAAAAAAGAAAAGAAATTTTGAAATATGGAATGTTAAATTAAATTACTAAAAAAAAAAAAAAAACTGAAGAATTTCTATACTAGAACAATTTTCACAGATACACTCATCTTTCTAGAGTTAAATCAATGACTGTTGATGTTAACAATAAAGGTTAAAAATTGAAGTGAACAGCAAAGTAGTGAAATATGAAGAATAAGGTAGTATTATTCAGAGGACAAAAAGACGTCAACACAATGAAGTGGTCCCTTGGCTTGTTGTTAATCAAAATAATGTTAATTTAAATATATACTACTTCTACAATGTCTGCATGGTTAAATAAGTTTACAATTATGCTGGGTTTTTTTCAACAGATTTTCAGGTTTTATGATTTCACTCTGATATTTTAAACTTTTGATAATTCAAATTAATTTCATTGGATAATTCAATTATAGCTTCTTCTTTTTTTGTTGTTATTTTTAGGTTTTTTAATTTCGCCCTGACATTTTAAACTTTGGATAATTCAATTATAGCTTCTTTTTTTGTTGTTGTTATTTTTAGGTTTTTTAATTTCGCCCTGACATTTTAAACTTTGGATAATTCAAATTTTTTTTCTAGTACATCAGATTTTTAATTATTGCAAGTTGTCCTTTAACTACTTATATCAACTACTTACAATTTCAATTATGCCGTTCTTTTTTCTTTTTTTTTAAGGGTTGTGATTTCAGAAATATATAGTTATTAAATTATTTGTGTTTCAGGCAAGCCCCGATTGGAGATGATAATTATTTATTGCTTGCTAACAGAATAGATACATCAATTAAGACAAGCTAATTATAGGAGAAATTTGTCCATAAGTACCTGCTATAATTCTATCTGAGCTTTAGGATAGTTATTTATTTATTATAAATATATTTCAAAGTTACACATCTCTATTTTATCTTACTTAGGCTTGGATGTTCTGATATTCATAGGTAAAAATTAGATACATTGTTAGCTAATATTCTTAATACCGATTTTCAAGGTACAATATATTCAATTTTATTCATATACAAATTTGTAATATCATTTGTATGTAAGGATTTATATCTAAAATTGTTAACATAATTTATAGATTATTTTTTAACTTCAGTACTTCATGAGATGTGTAACTTTGAAATTATAAATTTAGTAATGTCGGAATAGCTTCTCGATACTCTATTTTTAGTAAATTATTTATAAATAGAATTTATTATTTTTATGTTAAGTAACTATATTTTTCCAGTATAAATTTATACCAAAGTTTACTTTATTCCTAGGATGTTTAACTGTCTAACAAAGAGTATATGTATATGTTTGTTGTTAATTTTGTTGAGAGCTGTTATCTTTTCTTTTCTTTTTTTTTTAATGTTAATAATTTATAAGTAATATTAAATTTTAATGTTTTGGTTTAATAAGCCATAGGTGATTTATGTTATTTGTTTTGGGCAATCTATGTTATAGATTTAAGACATCGTCTTCTCTAAGATAAAGTATTTTGTCATTTTAACTTAATGACTATCCTGCTGTAGAAATCAGTTCAGTATTGAAATATGAGCTACTTAAATGTCATCTTAATGATTGTTAATTTATTCCCTAATTATTCCTGATCTATTTTAGTAATATTAATGTTAGAAAACATTTTTATCATCAAATTTTTTTTTTTTATACTCTGCATATATCAATTTGAAGGAAATTATTTTCGTTGTTAAGCTAACTTTTAAATACTTTTATATTCCAAACAGTAGCTTTTTTTTAAATTTTATATTTTGTCACTTATCAGTATGACAATGGTACATGACTTCTCTGTTCTACAGTGGTTCAAATATTCTGCTTAAATGAAAATTCATCATATGGAAATAGCATAAACATTTTCAATTTCTTACTAATTCATGTATCCAATTGCCAGCGTTATTACAGGTGTTTTGTGCCATTTATATTAGCATTTCTTTGGTTGGTTAATGATTATTTCCTTGTTTGATGGGAGTGTTCATCACAGTGCCTAGGTTTAGCTCATTTAATTTGAAATTCTAGGTTCTAGGTTAGAACCCAAATAATATTTGAATTAGATTTTTAATTGATTATTTAGAGAAAATATGAACAAGAATATTATGCTTCTCTATGTAGAAAGTCACTATTAATTTTCATCTATAATACTTTTAAGTTTCTGATAACAGTTATAAATTACATATATGTGGTTATTACTAAAAACTGAACTTCCTGTAGTTCTTTCTATATCATTCAGTTACATATCTAGCTCATCTTTCAAACTATAATATACACACACATACAGGCAGTATAGATGTGACAGCAATATTCAAAAATCCAAATCCAAATTTTCTTGAACAATTGGACTCATTTTAAGAGTTAAAATGTAAATTTCTTGACAGGATTAAGGTGAGTTGAAAGTGGTGATTATAAGATCACTTATATTATTGAAATTGAATTAATTCTTTTTTCCATTCATTTGAAGAATTAATGCATTATTTAAACATGTTATACATGTGTAATTTTATACTACTTATGTACTTACTTTTGGAAAATATGTGTAAATCTACTTATGCATATTGATATCAATTTAAAATAAAATGTACATGTTTTCTAATTAACAAGAAATATTAGATTGATCATGAAACAATCATATCAGATTACTTATCAGCAAGTATAATTGGGGATTTATTGTATAAATAATATATTTGCCTCAATATAGGTCTTTTTTTAAAACTTTTCCCCTGAAATATATGATTTTGACCTATACTTAGAATTACTTATATTCAGATTCAATCTAAGAAAATTTGATTTCAACTAACCTGAAGGTTTTTTTATCACTTCATAAATTATTTCCTTTTCTACTTCTGTAGATATAATACATCAATGTTATCAATGAATGATGATTCATTCCCTTATTAAGCTGCATTTTATGGTGTAAAAATGGTTAGGATTTGTGGCAAAGGTTATGTCTTAACAGAGAGTTAAAACAAAGAGTCGATGAAACCAAATCAGAAAAATAGCTGACATAGATGGTATTTAGAATTAAATAGAGAAATAATTCAAGCAGAAATAAAAAGATTGAAAGAAAATGGTCAAATAAGTAAGTGGAATCACCAATGGAAATTGTCTAAGAAACATAATCAAAAACAAAGCAAATTGCTTTTCTTTTCATTTTAAGCCACATCTTTCTCCTATTAAAGTAATAAAATAAAAAACATTGGGTCATGGAAATGGATTAAATAATAACATTTTTTCATTTAATTGCTTATAAGCCATTTTCTGCAAAAGGTTGGTGGTATGGATTGTGCCTTAAAACTAGAAACTTGTTCTTTATTCTATTTTGCTTCCCCTCCCTTGGCGTCACAAAGTGAGGAAAATGTACAACGTAGGTCAAAAGATATGCAATCAATAAGTATAAATCCACTTTTCATGTGTGTGATTTCTTTGACTGTACAGTCATTGCTAATATTGGCATTTAATATTTTTCCATTAAGCGTTTATTTAAATTTTTGATCTCTTATGATATTTCATGTAATAAAAATTATATTAAAGCAATTAATTATAGTATATGTACAAAAAGTAGGATAAAGTTACATAAAAGATTTTGAATTCTGTTAGTTTAAATAGTTTTTCTTTTCCATGCATACAATTGATGTAATAATTATTTTTCAAAAACGATGTATTAGTAAAATTTAGTATATATTAATTATTTTATTATTGAATCAAAACCATGCATAATATTCTAAAGCACATTTTGATCATGTTAGGTGTTATAACTTTTTATTATTATTCTATATTCTTTCCAGGTGTCATTAATTTTAATTACATATTGAGTATCATTCATTTTTTGCATAAGAAATATAAAATTGATTTTGTTTGTTTATCATGAATTTAACTCAACAAATTATGTTTATGAATTCAATACTGTATTTGTGTTTTAAAAGTTAATTTTTTTTTTCATCATGGTTTCTCTTTAAAAAATAGATAAAAATGCAATGTTTGGTCTAGAAATATATCTGATGTAAATTTCATAATTTCTCTTTTATTTAAAATAATTTACAGAAAATTTAGGTAGGTAGAGATGTAAATGTAAATAAAAATTTTAAATCTTAACTGTAATTAGATGCATTTTGTTATCTGATAGCAAAATATTGTTGGTTTGAGTTATCTGAATTGTATTAATCTACAATTTTGTCTATAAAATAAATATTTATGAAAAATCATAAGGTCTCTACTAAATAACTTCTAACAAATCAGATAATAATTGTGTCTTATTAGTTTTTCATGGATTTAAACAGATTGAAGATTAAGTGAATGTAGTAAAAATGTGATATTTTTATTTACTCTATATAGATCTAATAAAATGTTCTCATTTGATAATCATAACCAAAAGTTTAAAATGATTCAGGTAAGTTGAATAAATCAAGTGGTGACAGGATTATTTTTTCATTCAATAAAAAATGTTTACACAATATTTGGTTCTTTATGTTGAATTGTATTGAACAAAATATCTGATCCTTAATTCAGTATCTGTAATAAGTATGTATCAACCTTTAATTGGGTTTGTTAAGAAGGTACATGATTCTGTTTGTTAATCTAGTGTTAATACAATAGTAATTTATTTATTTTTAACAAATATATTTAAGTTTAATTTCTTTTATTTGTTTCGTCAATTGTAATATGGCTAATTATCTAATTAAAAATAAAGGAAACATTTTATGGTTTAGAACCATCAGTTAATGTAAATTTAATGATTGATAGAATGCACTTTAGAAAGATGAAGTACACATATATCAGTGGGTGTACCTTATTTATAATTTGTAAGTCTATTAAAAATTGGCTTCTTGTGTTTTATCGAACATATATCAGTATTTTTAGATTTTAATTCTCTATTGGCTTTTAAGCCAAAGGCAAGGTGCTAATAAGTACAAATATCTTGTGATTCTCATTTTTTTTCAAATTATAATTTATTTTGTTCTTGTTAAAACTAATGTTTTTATTTAATTTTTTTACTTATTAAAAATAGTCAATTAAATGTAATTAAAAAGATTTTTTATATTAAAAGAAGGGTTTGTAAGGTATTGGTATTAATTATTTATTATTATTAAAATTATAAGATAATCGGAAGAAAAAAAACAACAGACTCCTGTTTCCAATTTAATGCTGGTTTCTGTTGGTTTTCCACAACTTCTGAATTTCATCTGTTTTATTATATCAGCTTACTTAATTTCGAAAGTGCAACAACAAACTGGATTGATGACCAACAAAGAATAAAACTGCAGTTTTAATTATTTGTTTTCTTATTTAAGTTACGGATTAAAATCTTTATAAAAGAAAATTTGTCAGTCATAAGATTTTAAAAAAGTGCATCCCAATTAAAATGTTTGTAACATTGTTTACTAGGCATTGTACTTCATTTATGTGTTATAAAAAAGAAAATTGTTATATAAAATAATTAATAATAAAATAACATTTTATAAGCTATAAAATTATTACTTCACTATGTAATTTATTGTATACTTTTAAATAAGTGAGTTTAGTGTATTCTGAACAAAATAACTATATTTTTGAAAGCATTTTTTACCATTAATTAAATACTGTGAATGATGTAAATATTTAAACTTTGATAATGTTTTAATATATTGTTTTTATAATGATTTCCTTTCTTGTTTTCTGCCCTAAAATCATTTACATTTTAGCTTTAAGTGAGCAGGAAGTAATCTGACTGATTTACATATTGACCATTCCCCATATTTTTGGGTTTCTTCCAATTATTTTGGCTTTATTTATAGTTTAACCCACTCCATTTCATGCTATAGAAGTTAAAGGTGACTTGTTTTTGGAGTAGTGTAACTTTTTTTTTATTAGCATGTATAGTGTTAAAGTCAAGCAATTTTTAATGTCAGGTATATTTTTTCCCCAAGATTGCTGTTACCGTATAATTAACACTTATTACATGTTGTATATTTTTATTATATGATTTTGATTAAAGCATAATTTTCATTTCTACATTTTACTTCTTTTTATTGTAAATTGTATTTCTTTGTATTTAATAATATTAAATTTACTGGAAATTATTTTATGTAAGAATTTCGTTATGTTAATCTTATTTATAAAAATATTCTTTGGTATTTCTCAGTCAAATTAATTTGTTTTATTTAGAACAAAAAAAAATCTGTTGTTTAATTACAACTTTCATCACAAACTATAGCCTTAAACTATTCACCAATCATTAAGATATTTTTTTAATAAATAATAAACATTTTTTGAAAACATTACAAAATCTTATAATATAAAAAATGTTTAAATAATTTTTAAAAATGTACAATTTAGTAAAGTTATCCTTTTTTGTGTTCTATAAAATTTAGTTTCATTGTCATTCTTTTGTATAAATTAATCATTTCAGTTGAATAGCATTCCTTTATAACAAAGCAATACTTCTCCTGCATAACAGATATATTACTAAATTTATAAATACCATAAACATTTTAAAGATTACTTTTTAGTGCCATCAATTCATGTCAAAAATCTAATAGAATAATTTTCATCATAGTTGCTTTGAGAATCAAGAACATTATAAAGTAGTTTCAAATTCGTCACATCTCTTCTACTTTTGCTTCAATATGAGTCCTTCATTGCGTGTTGTAAGATATACCTCCCCAATCATCAGGGCCAAGGAGAGAAACCAAGAACCCAGAGACAAATTTCCCTGTGCCTTCCTCAAATATTAAATTCAGCACTAAGACCCAACCTTGTCTATATAACATATGTAATAGTCCCAAAGCCTGGGCCTAAAAAGGATTCATTCAGGAGAAGTTTTTAATGTGAATTACAAAACTATATTATTTTAAGTAAAATGAAACTTGTATTCCATCGCAAAGCCATTAAGTGGTATATTTGAATCACCATCAATAATGATTTTTATCAACTTTGTAAAAAACTGAGATATATTATTATAAATGACTTAGCAAATTGGAAATGAGTGTGCTAAGAGAAAAAAACTGATAGAATAAAAATTGTAGAGCATCAAATTCTGTGTCCATTGAAAAACATTTTTGAATTAGGTCAAGTACATCTCTCGAAATAAGCATCTCCTGATGTCTGGCAGGTAGATATGATTTACAACACTTTAAAAGTATGGGTATTTATTCTTCTGTTGTTCTTAATTAGAATCTGTTATATAAACTATAGATATCTCTTTGGCTCCCAGCAACCATGGATTTTGCCGAATAAAGTGTCACAAGAAACAGAATTTTATATAGAAGTAACTATCCCCAATTCATGAAGTGTATTCAAACATAGGTCAACCTAATTTTAAAATGTTAGTAGTGATGCGAAATTTGATGTGCTACAACTTTCTTGCTTTGTTAATTTTTTTCTCGTAAAGAACTCTAATAAATAAAGAAAATAAATCTCATTTTTTTACAAATTGGTAAAAATCATCATTTTTGATGTTTGGTGACCATGCATTTTCGATCATATCATTGGGTATACTGAACAACTCTTTTAATGGATACATTGAAATAAATATAATATAAACATGGCATTTCGAAGATAAAATCTGGTTGGAGGGCTCACTCCTCGGTACTAACCATGTCACTTCTAGTAATGTTGTCAGGCATGTTAGTTGTCTCCATGATAAGGTAGCCCGAGATCTCATATGAGGGGTGTCATTCAATAGGGAGCTCTTTGCTTAATGGATATTATTTTATTAATGAATAATTTGTTTCTATAATCTATATGATCAATTGATTGACATGCATTTAAATTTTAATTATTGTAATACATATATTATTTACCAAACATTTGTTGTAGTTGGTTCTGTAAAATAAACAATGCCCTTCTATCATTGTAAAAATGAAATTATTTTCTCTTTAAGTTTGGCAGTCCAATTCTTTTTTTTTTTTGGAAAATTTTTGTTTTTTCATAATGAATCCACAACTAACAGACAACATTACCACTAGTTAATGAGACGAATGTTAATAAAATTACATCAAGCTTTTGAAAATTGAATAATATTCCAAAATAAATAAAAATCTATTAATTAGTTCATATTCTTGACCTTTCTTTATGAATTTTTTTCTCCACAACTTTGCCCACAAGTCAGAATTTTGGAGGAAAAATAAAAACCTATTAATTAAGGAAATCCCTATTTAACTGCCTTTTTAATCTTATCTTTTGTTTATTTTGATATTACAATTTTTAAATGTTGAGAAAGAATGTGATGGTTTAAAAAAAATTAATTACAATTTATAATGCAGCACCTGTAGACTGAAATTTCATATCAGTATATTATTCCAGAAACTGAGTTTTTTTTTTTAGAAAAAAGCTTTATATTCCACAAGCAAAATTAATCTTTTTTTACATAACTGGTTTGAATTTTCAAAATTAAATATATTTATGTATACGTTTTTATTTATTGAAATATGAATCAACAGAATGAAAGCACAGTTTAGAGTTTGAATTTCTTTTCTATAGTATTCTTCCTCTTACTTATTATACTTATATACTTATTTCTTAAGTATAACTTCCAGAAGAAGTTTGCTTCTATTTTAGGTAATTATTTATTGCTACTTTCAAACGACCCAAAATATTATGTCTTAAACCCTAATATAATACCTGTAATAAAAAAAAACCGTTAGTTGAAGAATTTAATAAATAGATTCAGTCACTGCCCAAAGGAAGTGCTTTTTAGACTTTTGTTTAGTTAAGAAAGGGTATTGTTTCTCAGGAAACTATATCCTTCCTTTATTATTTAATTATAGAGCTTACAATGCTAATAGAAAATTTAAATAAAAATTAAAGATATTTCATTTTAATGTTTAGAACAATAAATTTTAGAAATACAACTCTGAAGGAAACTACAAGCTAATTCTAAAATCTCTCACATGTTGAAAAAATATAAAATTTAAAACCAATAGCTTATTCATAATTGTTAATTAATCCAACCTTAGACTTCTTTAAGTAAAAAATATTAATATTATATGTCTAATCCTTATTTAGAAAATAACTGTAAGTTATATTCTCTTTGCTTAGAATCTTAAAATAGCTCTTTGGTTTGATATATGTATAGTTTTATTGTATTCTTTGGCTACCTTTAGTGTAACCTTTATCACTATTTATTTTGTTTTGTTATCATTTGGGTTAATACTTTGTTTCATCTACTGTTACAATTCTAAAAGTTTCTACTTCTTTAAAAATAAATGGAACGCTCTATTTCATGATGTTTTATTATTGACTGAACAAAAAATTATTACTAGTGTGAATGTTCCATTTCAGTTTTACTCTGTTCCTAACAAAACAAATGTAGTGACAATAGTTTTATAATTTTATCTGTTAATATGTAGCTTTGATTATACTTTTAATGACAGTTTTTTTGTGTAGGTTTAGTGTAATTTAAAGCATAATGGCTTTGGTAATGTTACCTTGTGATTTACCCTGGTGGTCTTCCATTCAGCGGCATCTCACTCAGGCAGCTAAATCAGCAGATGCAGATGAATTGATAGATTCTATGGTGAAGATACATAATATGTGCAAGTATGTTATTTTACATTTTAAACTTCTTGTGATATTTAGTCATTTATTATGTTGAAACTTGTAGAAATATTATATTTGTACTAGTTCACATAATTTCTACACAGATTAGGCCTAGTTCACAATCACTCCGATCAAACTTTTTCATGGAATCCCAAAACAGCGGAATGTTATTGTCTTTTGTGAGGTCAGCTATTTCTCTCACCGCACAATCCCTTTTCATATATTTTTGAAAAAAAAAAGTATTTCCTTTATGGAACTTCCTTATTAACGAATTATGTATATACTAATTTGTTAATTATTAATTCTTATTATAACGGTTATCATTCGGATAGAATAAGAAAAATAGTTATAAAACGATGTTTGTGTTGTCCTATAAGGTTTGTTATAAAAAAATAAATAAAAAAATGCTTTAAGGAATAAAATAAAAATGGAACCCATAGATCTGATTATTAGTTGGACTATACTGTTTGCTTAAAATTTATTTTCTCATTTTAATCTATATTATTTTAATCCTCTCATTCCTCAACATTCTGTATTCATCCTCAACATTCTTCATTTCATTCCTCAACTCATATTGTATCACGGTCAACCATCTCTACACCACTATATTATTTTTATTGAATGAATCAGCTGGTAATTCGTAGTTATTTTGTTTAGTAATCCGAAAATGAGGACTTATTGTAGTCAATCGTAAAAAAAAAAAAAAAAAACTTCATTTTCGAGGAAGAAATTAATGTATTGGGGAAACAACTAATATCTGATCAGATGAATATCTGATAATTCCAAGATAATTAATAGTGGAAATCATCAATAAGAAAAATGATATTGTGAAATAGCATTCAGACGTTTAATAGTTAAAGATTTTTATCTATTACTATTTCTTTTCCACAGCTGTATATTATATGTACAAGTTCGATTAAGATTACATGATGTAGCCTAAATTTCGAATATAAGTGGGCTCCTGCTGTATAACTGAACAAGGTTAAGGTTATAGAAGTACTTAAATGGTGGGAAAGTTAATATTAACTGACTCAAGATCAGTTGCCTTTGTTTACTTTCAGATAAATCCGAAGGCTTTCCACTCTATGAACAAGTGACCGAAGTGATTGTGAACCACGCGTAATCCGTGCGAAACTCATGTGAACTTGTACCATTATTTTTACTACAGCATTAGATTTTATTTGGTATAAGTTCTTAGTTTCGACATCTGCTTTAGAGCTGGTCAAGATATGATCACCTCCCTCATACCGTTCTTTTATCTTATTCCTCTACCTGACCATTTCTGGCATTTGAGGTGTTAATTTTACCCATTACCAATCCCTTCTAGCTGGAATCGGAAGTTTGAGATTTATTCAGTGGGTCCGTTACTAAATTTAAACTATCCAGACGTCACCAGCGTCAGAGATTACAAAAATCACACTTTAAAAATTATAGTTACTTAAAAATTACAGTTAAACTGTTGATGGAATTCAGAAAGTGTTGACAACACTCCCTCTTGGTATTAAGAAATTACTAATGTCTCATAAGTTATATATAATATACTTATATGTATAACATATTCTTAATATTCTGTATATCATGTATAAATTATACTATGTATTTTTGGACATAATAGGCACTTCTAGGAATTTATAGTGTGATTTATGTGATGTTGATTCACCTCGCAATCAGACATGACTTATGTGAACTAGTACTGCTGACTATAGTACTATTATACAATTGTCACACCAATTTCATGGGTGGCACAAGATCCATTGAACACACCATATCTAAAATTCTGAGAAATGGTTAGTGGGTTGCTGTTGATCTGCTGGAAAGTCAAGTTCATAGTCTAGTTGTTTCCATCATGCATCAGGTTTCTTGTCATCTCCAGAACAATCAACAAAACAGATGTTAAAATATCTTTGAAAATGTCAAGGAAGTAAATGGATTGAGGAGTTAATTTCTCACAGAAAGTCTTAGGTATGACATCCATTTGACCCATCCCTACCGCTAAAAAGCTTCCTTAATTTTAAAAATGCATTTCGGGAAAAAGTGCTTTCTACTCAGTTATGTTTAGATTTTCAAGAGGGCCAGGCCAGATCTGGACCAGTCCCATGCCTTATTGGATTTCTTAAATGTTCTATTACCGGTGATATAAAAGATCCCACCTTCATCCATCCTCCAAAAAGTTATAAAAACTTCTTAGATCCTCTACTTCCAGTTCTGTAATCAAATTTTGATGGATCCTCTTCTATTTATGTTGCGCAATCCAAATCAATTTTGGACTTGTTTGGCTTTTGTTATTGCTGTTTGAACTGGCTTCTATTATTTTGAGGAAAATCGGCTCCATATGTATACTAACAGCTCCGCTCAAACAGCTATATGGAATGCATGTGCAGGAGTATACTGTCAAGAGTACAATATCCATTCCTGCTTGTAGTTGGGGAATAAATTTCAATGGGGAAGTCAAAACTGTTTGTGTTCTTTGTTGACTCACTAGCTGCCTAATCGCAATGGCTTGATGTCACAGATATTAATGGTTGGATTGGTAATCTAATTAAAAAAGAAATCCAAGTGAAATTACAATGAGTTCCAAGCCATTGCGGTCTACCAGTAAATGAACAAGCTGATAGATAAGCTTGCACGGATCACCTTGTAATGCCACAAACCAATCCTCCTCTGCCTTATGAATCTCCTAAAGGGATTTTAAAATTCTTTTACAAGGAATAGGTTAGGAATTGGGAAAAAGAAGAGGTAGCTGGGAAAAAATGGGAATGTTTAATAGATGGGCTGATGAAACAAATACAAAGTTGGAAAGTATAGGTAACGTGTTTCCGGATGATGACCGGACATGATCACCTGCAAAGGCATTTGCACAGGATTGGATTCATGAAAAGCTCTGTATGCCTCTGTGCTGGAAGCATGAGATGTACGACCTGCACCTACCTGTGTGTCCCGCTCTGTCAGATGTTATCAGTAAAAATCTTCCTAATAACACGGGCACAGCTACTAGCAGTGGAAGAATCAAATTGAATTCCATTATGGCAACAATGTGTTGGGCTGCCAGGAGCCAAATGGCTTAATATCCAATAGCATAGATAGGTGTTGAATAAAAAATTACTGTTTGAACTTAATTTTTAAGAGTTTTTATAGTTAAATTACTCTATAATATTAACATTAGTTTTTATTTTTCAGTGTAGGGTTAGAGCCTGATGAAGCTGAAACATCGGTGGATGATGTATTTTCTGGTTTAAAACATTTTTTAAATAACGATTTATCAGATGATGAAAGGTCAGGTTTCTTTAACTTCACTCTACCATGTATAGCACAACGAGCGCTAGATCTTAAAAGATTCAGGCCACCATCTGGATTAAAATTTAGTTTACAACAAATATGTATGTGTTTTTCATTTTATTTTATTTTTTCTTAACAATCGTACAATTTTTAAAGTGTTTTTTTATGAGTATTAAAGTATGAGATACTAGATTCCAAAGAACTACTGCAATATGACAGCTGGCTATAAGATCCCATTATTCATACTTTATATGATATTCTAAAAGTAGCAAACTGTGTCAGGAAATGAACTGATGTTATGATTTTTATAGCAACCCAAAAATTTAAATTTTCTGCACATAATGTTTGCGCCTACGTTGGACCTTTCGAAATTTTTTCCACAATCTCAAAAATTGTGATAACTGTAGAATGGGTCCACCGATCCTAACAAAATGATTAAGGATTTAAGCCCATGTATGCTACACGAAATGGTATAAACCTGACCTTCGTAAATAAATTATTAGAACTAAAGATATAAAATAAAAATGGGTTAGAGTTTTTTCTTTGTTTCTAGTTTAAAAAGGAAATAAATCCAAAAGTGATTGATGTTATTTGGAAGAGCAGTAATTCAGCTTTCCATCTGTTATATGTAAAGTTGAATTTGAAGAAAATCCTTAGGTGTTATGAATGCTATAGTTGACAGCCGGAACAAAAATCATCCCAAGAAAATCAACTACTAAAAGTTGTATTTTTATTTATATAAAAATTTGTATTTAAGAGTTGTAAAGGATCCTTAAAACCAACGTAACTTGCTTTTTCAAAACAAAATTTACTTGATCTACTTTACTGAAAGTCCCTTTTGTTTTTTTGTAATTTATGAAAACCTTTACTCATTTAATACAATAGTCAATTGTTTTTCCTTACTTTGCAATACAAAAGAAATCGACTTATAACCTAAAAATTGGAGCAAAGCAAAGGCAAAAATAAATAGTATAAATTTTGTTTGAAATTATATAAAATATTTTTTCTCGGCTTCCAGGGCCCATTGGAACAAACGCTGAGATATGTGTCCAATATTTTCCATGTAGTATCAACTATCAAATTTCAATCTGTATCAAAGTTGGTTGAAATTGGTGACCTACTGGCTTTAGGCTCTCTTCGTTAGAAGGAATACAATGTAGTACAAAAGGCTTCACATAAAAAAAGTGTGATTAATAAGTAAAAAAGAGTGGTTAATAGCGAAAACATTCTGACAAATTAAGGAAATTACTCTAATAAACTAGAAGGCTATCAGTTATATGAATACTTGAGCATATAAGATCACCTCAAAATGGTCCAAAAGATAATATTCTATCCACTACTGTTCAAGGCTCAGCTATCTGCGAAAAAAGTCAAAGCCATTTCACTTGGGCTATACCAGCTCAAAGTCCATGTTCAGCTGTATATAAATTTAGAGATCGTAAATGGGCGGAGGATATGAATTGAAGGATCTCAAAAGATAATACACTCAAAGGCTCTATCTTTAATACCAGCTTCTTTCGGCATTCTTTAGGATTCTCTGTAGAGGTTGATCGGTATGATCTTGATACCCAGCTGCCGTTTCGGAGAAGCACTTGGGAACTAGTACAAATTTAATTCAATACAAGATTTGTGTGTTAATTATTGGAGTTTTTTTGAGGAAAAGATTTTCATGTTAATGGTTATCTTGAAAGTGAATCCTAATCTTTATGAAGATTTAAGAATTTATTCAAAACAAAACAAAATAAAACAATTTGTTCTATATTGGACTAGGGCAAAAAGTATTTTAATTGTCATTTTGAAATACAGTATTTAAAAAAAAAGACAGTGCATTTTAATTACAGAATATTTAAATGTTTACTGGAAAAATATTTCTTATACAAAATACCAAAAATATTTTGTATTGTAAGTATATAATATTGCATGACATAACACAAAAGAATCTAATCAGTTTATTATATTACTTAATTTAGTTGAATTATAAAATAAAATTCATTTAATATATATTTTATGAATTAAATGCAAATACTTATATTTTTTGTATTTAATCTGAAATACTTCCCAGGTCTGCTTAACGTACTTATAGTTATTTTAAATTAGAACAAGCAAAAAACATTAATTTTTGTTTAATTTCAGGTGATAAAGAAGAATTTGACAGGAACTTTGTTGCATCGTTGTTAGCTCATGGATTTTTCTCTACATTTTCTAAAAGAACTGATAAAACTCACCCTACCCTTCAAGACTTTAATTTTACCAATTTTTTTCGATATCTTTCTTTGTAAGCTGTCAATCTTATTTCTGAAAAATAAGTTCCTTTGTCTTCCATATTTGATAATTTGTTGTGCATAATTATAGGAAACATCAGAAATGCAAATTACTAAGCCTGTTTCACTATTTCAACTTTTTAGAGCGATCAAATATTGAAAGAAAAATCACCTTTTCTAGGCAGGTAAACTCGCTCTCCATTTTATGAATATTATAATTATCAATCATTTTGTCTATTTTTTTATCTACACTTTACAGGTCATGAATAGTTCTCAGTGGCTAACATTAGATGACTGGTTGAACTGCAAATTACCACTTTGTCCATTGCTAATTAAAAGGCAAGGTGATATTAATAGTATTGGAATGGATCATATAATAGTTTGTTCAACAAGAAACAAAATTGGAAGTTCTGTTTTATCAGATGGTAACTCAGTGGTAATGTGATTGTATATCTATTTTTTGATATCTGTTCGATTATATTGTTATCAGTGTTTCCTTAAGTAGATTCCCATTTTTATTTCTTTATAGAAACCTTACAAAAACAGATTATATTATTTTATTGGTTGTACGATATGTGGAGCTTTCAAATTACAGTCTGTTGGTCACATGTTTCCTGTAAAGGAAACTAAAAAAATAAAATTTTACAGGACCAGGGAAGAATTCCCAACATACTTGATGGGCAGATTTAGCTGATGGTCCTCAGTGCTTAATTTTTATTTTCTGTGGGGAGCAGAGTAGCTCAGTGAGTTAGACACTGGGCCGCTAAGCCATAGGTCCCAAGTTTATGTCTGATGACACATAACTTTTCATGGTCTGTGGATCAACCCCACTCTGCCTCTACAAAGTCATTACTCTTAATTAAATTATTAATTAATTATTATTAATTGAAAACAATGCTATCGTGCCAATCTAGAAGTAAGGCAATGATTGGATAAGAATTGTTTTCAACTTCAGCTGAAAAGATTTGATTTAAAAATTGATAAGTTGATGCCAGCCTCAGATTAGGGAGAGGTACCAAATAATTTGTCCAGAGATGGATTCAAGTTTATATTCTGACTAGTGAATTAAGTTTCAATTGTTTAATATAAAGTAATAAATTAAACATAGAAAAATCAATGTTTCAATAATTTTGTACAACTATCATCCGAAGTCAGTTTTTAACAAATTATATCTTTATTTTCAAATTAAATACTAACCTACACAATTATTTTGTGTATTAAAAGTATTTATTTATAAGTATAAGCAATAAATTAATTTTTTTTGCTGGGAGTAATGTCTATAACAAAGAGGATATTACGACTCTTGTAAAGTCGAGGATGCTCAATAGCAATTAAGTGCATCCGTTACTTATAGGTCACATTTGTTCCTTTAGCTAGGCTTCAGGCCTATCTTATCAATCCTCATTTCCCTTTTATTCAATTATTAAATTATTGCATAGTTTGTTTATCCATTTTTTATTAGTAGTTACTAGTAAAATAGCTAATTATTTCAAATAAACAAAATAAAAAATATTTCAGAGCAAGAAATGAAAAAAAAAAGTTTTAAGATGTTTTGAGACAATGATAAAAATTTGTTAAATAGTGTGGGTCATGTTTTTTATAGATGTGTAGTAAACAAAGCTATAAGGAAGGAGATGGTCCGGGGGGGCGATCATAAATAGACTAAACAGTGGCAAAACTATTTTATTAAAAGCCGATGTTTTGACCCGACTTTGCAGGTCTTCTTCAGGGCTAGAACGGACAAGATACAAAAAATATAGTGAATTCTGAAAATTAAATAATATTTTAAAAAATATATATATATAAACAATGTGAATAAGCTTATTAAAATTATAAACAGTAAGTACATTAAAATATAAACAGAGTAAGCTAAGTAACAAGATTCTAAACTGAAGTAAATAGATGGTAACAATTGTTATAGTGTAATATATAATATATGCAAATGTGAATATACTTCTACAGATCTATGGGAGAGATTGAAAAAGAAGGAAAAAGGATATAATGTGAAATAATAGACATATAGGAATGTGGAGAAAGAAAAGAAAACCAAAAATAAATAAGTATATAAAATAAAAATAAAGACTTACAGGTGTGTTCAGCTAGGAGTTTCACTGACCTGAATTTGTGGAATCTGAAGATAGGGATGGATATAAGGGAAAAAATACTATATCTATGAAATAATAAATTATAAAATTATACATATAAAATAGAATTAAGAAATTACAGATAAGAATACAATGTGAATAAAAACAAAAATGGAAGAAGTAACATAGAAGTAAAATATAAATATAGAAATAAGAGACCGTACATTGCAGAACTACTTAAGAAGTATAGAGAGGAAATAAAAAATAAATAAAAAATATATATATATATATGAATAATTATAATTATATTTAGTTGTACATATGTAAGAAAAAATTCATTTAAATATTAGATAATATTGAGACATGGTTAAAAAGTAAAATGAATACAAAGTGAAAACGGGGATGATCATACGATGGTGTAGAAATTAAATATGAAATTAAAATAAAATAAAAGAGAGACCATACAAAGCGGAAATAATTAGAATAATGAACAATTAAATTGAATTAATCAATAAAAATTGAAAGTAGATAAAAATAATACGAAAGTTCAGCAAAATTCCCCAATACCTACCCTTACCCTTATTTTCCAGTTCTAAGTGAAACTCCTAGCTGAACACACCTGTAAGTCTCTATTTTTATTTTATATACTTTCAGCTAGGAGTTTAATGTCTGGAAATAGAATATTATTTAGATTTAAACAGGGCCCTCTAATTCCCTGCCTCCTCCCTACAAATAGTAGTATCAGTACTTCTTCTGAAAGTAGAGAAGTAAACAAAAGTTGTGTAATGCATACATTGTACTTATTTTAAATATTATGTCTTTTTGTTTTGTAACTTATTGCTTACTGTTAGGAACCACTATAAACTATGATTTTAAATATGGTAACAATATATATTTATTTTTTTTTTTTGCAGGAATCTATTCAATTAATGACTTGTCCAGAGATGCTTATGATGCTGTTGTACGTTGAATCTTTGGAAGATAATGAAATTTTTATTGCTGAAGGAGTTTTACAAGTTACTAAATTAACTAATCCTAAAGGGGATTCTTCTGTTGAAAGAATTTCTCAACCTCAGCTGGTACTGCAATGTGTTTAATTTATGTTTTTCTATTAAATATAATATAATAAATCCCAAAATAGCCTTCCAATACTATTTTTAGTATCTTGGATCTATGTTCATTGAGGAGGAAGCAACTAAATACAGCATCATTCAGATTACAATGTAGCGTAAGTAATGTCTATCAAACATATTGTCCCAGAAGTCCATTGTAATAAGTTATATTAGCTTATCCAAACATTTTTTTTTAATATTTGTTTTATTTAGAAATTTTCACTTAAGTGTAAAGTCCTGCACGTTCTTTGAATGTTGTATAAATTTCTTGTCTTTTTTTAACATTTAACTTTCATTAATCCCATATTTAATCCTTCATTAACCAAATAATAATTTTTGTAATTTGTCTCGTCATTGTATATGTTAATAATACTTACGGATAATTAGTTTTCTTATTATCAGTAGCAACTTAGCTTTATAAATATATAATAAATAGTCATGTTTTCATTGTAATTTTTGAGCGACAGAGACCTGATTTCATGTTAGAATCTAAACTGTTAAAAAAAATAACTTATCTGCTCAAACTTTGTATGTCAAAGCAGTTTGTAGTGCTTTAATTTACTTGAGGATTTAGCAAATAAGTCAAGGATTAGTCAAAATACATTTACTTATGAACATATCTAATATTTTGGTGATTTTAAGTTTTAAAAATGATAAAATTAAGAAATATAATAAATTCTACCATTTATATTCAAATTAACCTAATAGTTTGTGCTACCCCTTGTCGAATAATTATGGCGAGAAACTAATTTTTCATTTAGTAAAAACTGTGCATTTATTGTACTATACAACTTAAAAAGTTTAAAATTGTATAACATATTAAACATGAGAAAATCATAGTTTTTGCTTAATTTTTAATATTAATACATGAAATGCTTATCCACTCTTGTGTTAGAGTAAGTGCCTCTAAATTGAAGTAAGGTATACTATATATAGCAATGTGAGAAAAAACCTAATTCTAATTCAACGATGAAAGACGATAAACCTAAATCTAGATGAAAGAAAAGCAACATGTAAAGTTAATTATTTGCAACATTAATTTTATTTAATAACAAACCATGTACTCTTGAATTGAGGCTTGATGTTACAGGAAATAGGTCGATTTGTAACAAAATGTATCTTGAGTAAAGTCGAAGCTCCTTTGCTTTTATTAAAATCCATAGTGCCAGAAATACAACCTGGCAGTGTGTTGTCAAAGAACTTTCAGCCAAGCGGAAATAAGACATTCCTTTTAAATTACTTTCATACTTGTTTGTTTTGACACTGGCAAATAAATATATATTATTTTAAAAATACAATTCATTCATATACATGTTTTGGAACCACCTTCAAACCATGAAAACAGGAGAAAACGGAGCTTTGACTGTCAGCATTGGTGTATCCACAGGGATTTGTTTATGTGAGTGATCGAAACGTAAATAATTTAATAATCACAGGATGTACTCTCTTTAATATAAATTATATACAACTACTAAATATAAGCACGTGTAAAATAAAATATATAATAGAGTGTATAAAAAAAATTATCGTTTTTCAACCAAATATTGTAATTATTATTTCTTTGATATAAACTACAATTAATACTCGAAGTATAGTCCATTGTTATCTACTGTCATTAGCCATCTGCTGGCCAATTGCTCGATCCCAAACTGATATCATACTTTGGAATGGCTGTAAAAAACTAACCTTGAAGAAAATGGGCCATGGATCTGAATAAGTATCGGATGGTGGGAGGTCTGGACTATGTGGTGGATGAGGCAGGAGTTCAAGCCTAAGAAGTTCTTTTAACTTTTCTTTGGTTTGAACGGAAGTGTGAGGACGAGTATTATCTTGTTGGAATAATATTCTTTTTCGGTTGATTAAAGCAGGATAACGCTCTGACAACTTTGCTAACAGTTGTTCACAATCTTTCCAGTTGTTCGCAGTATTTCAGAGTTCAGAACTTATAGAACATCCATCAGGAACAAATTTGTGATGAATAACACCTTCAAAAAATGAAAAGCAAGGATTTTTTGTTCAATTTGCCCCCTTGCAGCAACCGGAAAAGCAGTTCGACCGCGATCTATCCATTTCTCACAGGTATTCGGATTTTGCCAGTAAACTCACTTTTCATCACAGGTGACAATCTTCCGGTAAAATCTCATAGAAGGATTTTTCAATTAATTTTCACAAATTTCTAAACTGTTAGCTGATTGCTGAGGAGTAAGTTCGCGAGAAACCAGTCTACTGCTCTTATTCACCTTCTCCATAGAGAATAGATGGTGATTAACAGTATCTTTTGATACATCACACTCCCTAGTAAGATCGCGTTTACTTGTGGATTGATTTGACTCAACAGCTTCCCGCAGAACCTCATCAATATCCATCAATGGTCACCCAGAGCCTATCTTCCTTTCCAACATCATATCTCCACTGCTAAATTTTTCAAACAAACCCCACTTATTGTGCTGGTCAAGGACACATTCCCCATCATATTTAATAATTTCACAAGTTGCTTCAGCGGCTGTGAAATTTTTTTTGCAGCAATGCCTTAATTAGAGAATTTTTGTTAGGAGACTGTCATGTTTCTTCTTTGAAACAAATAACTAAACTGAGGCTTTTTTTGAAGAAGTCGAATGGGATTAAACAAGCTTAGAGAATGCTCTAAAGAGATTATTAAATATTGGTAAGCATTAAAATATTTACAGTCCTTTGAATTCTTGAATTTGATAAAACGGTCGTTTTTGTATACATCCTTTTACATAAATCAGTTATCTCTAAAAGCATTATGTACCTACAAGTATACAATGCAGACCATAGAAATCATTGTCCTTAACTATAGATCTAATATAGAAATAAATTTACATAGCAATGTATGTAAATGTTTAAAAGGACCTTAGGTTCAAGCATTTAATTTTATGGTTTTAAAATTGAAATGTAACCCTTAAAGTGCCAAGTCATACAACAAAACCCTAAAATTTGAAATCTGTCCATATTCATTCTTCAGATAGATTTGTAAACAGATAGATAATTGGATTTGAAGTTTCTACCTGCAAGCGAATAAAATTTGCAATAACATAGAAATCTGGTCTCTAATTATGACAATTTAATCGCTTTCCTATCTTCCCAAAAATGTTGTTAACCAATTCCTGCTATACATTGTCTGACTCTTCTATAACTTTTAATTTAAAATTTATAAAAAAATAGACTAATTTAATAAGATCTACTATTTATTTCAAATTAACTTAACAGCTTGTACTATCATCTGTGACATAGTTATGACAATTAAGTTGTGTTTCTATCTCCTTAAAGATGTTAACCAATTCCTGCAATACATTGTCTGACTTCTATAACTAATGTTTCCAACTTTTCAAGTTTAGTAAGAATGAAAATTGGACACAGGAAACTTGAAAAGTGCCCAAATACTTACTTTGGACTGTATTTATCTTCATTGGAATTCATTTACTTGACTATTGTCTATTGTCTAGGCCTATTTGGACTTATGGGGTTGAGCTTTGAGGCTCCACTAAACCATCAAATTCCTCTCTTGTCCAATCCTTACAATCCAAAATCCTTAATGCTCCTTAATTTGTCACAAATAAAATTATCCATAATGACCTTAATGTTCCATATGTTGCCGATTTAGTTCAATCTAGATACCTATCCTTCCTTAACAAACTTCACATCCATCCAAACCTACTTGTCATTTTCTGACAATCTTCATTGGCGTCAGAAAAGAAATTGGTCCTGGGACTTTTTAATATAGAATAATAATTTGAGTGCAACAAATGGGTAGTTTCCTCTTTCAGTTTCACAATTATTTGTTGTATTTGTAGTAGTAAAGTTGTAAATTTCAATAAATAAATAATAATAAAAAAAATTATTGCTTGTATATTATTTTCAGTTGACATTCTGTTGTTTGGACCCAGATGACTATAGGGAAGTACCATTGCTCCAGTATCAGCAAGATAGCATTCTCCGTGAATTAAATAAAACTCTTCTTGGATTTAGACAAAAGTGTCCTTCTAATGGAATCCTTCCTAAAAGGCTGTCTCCAATTGGTGAATCATTTAGTTCGACACCTGAAAAAGAATCTAAAAAAAAAAGTGTTAGTGAGTCATCTAAAACTATTATAGTGAAGTAAATAATAATAATAATAATTTATTTTTATCTAACACAGTAGATGAAAGTTTAATACAATGACAGTCCAATGTCCAATAGCCTATCTGTAATTTTTGATATTTTATGCTTTTTAATAGGCATTTTTTAAATAACATTGAATAATAATATCATGAATGTGGTAAGCTTTATTTAACATGATACAACACAATTATTGCAGTTCCACACATTTTCAGACATGCACCTATTTCTTCTTTATCTTGAAATCAATTTAAATTGTTTAAATTAATATATTTTGTTTGATTTTATTTAACATTCTCCAATTCCCATATTGTAGGAATTAAGTTGTTCCATTCAACTCTTAATATAACTTATGTATCAGAGGTGGATCTTAACCCTTTGGGTTATGGCTCATGGTTTATAGGTTAAAACTTGAAATTTTGTAATATTTTTTCTGCAAAAATTTATTGTTTAAAAATATTAATATTAAAATGAATTAAATGCGATGTTAATAAACCATTATTAACATGAATGTTATTATAGTAAATAACATGGATAATTACTATTTATTTGTTTGTAATATCATTGAGTTATTTGAATATTAAAAATATTAATGTTAAACAGGTTTATTTTTGGTAAACTAAGGATTTTGTAGTAAAAAAAATATTGAAAGACTGAACACTAACCAAATCATGTTTACCCTGGGAACATTTATAAATGCTACTGAGTAAACTTGTAGAAAGACTTTTCAAAGGAAACAAAGATGTTTTAGGTCCTAAATGTTATGAAATCTTGATTTTTTTAACTTTCAAAAGTTCTGCATAGTTTGTATTATCTTTCCTCTGGAATATAATTAAATATTAAATGGCTGAGATTACTCTATTAAGAAGGAAAATTGAAGAAGACAATTCCTTTGGAACTTAGTATTCTTTTTTTATACAGGTATTAATTTGGTCATAACCTTCCAGGGAATGTGAGTGTTTAGGACCCAATGACATAGTTTTTTTGATAAATTCTTAATTTAATTGTTTTATTAGTGTTCTGTTATTAATCAGTGCCATAACTGATACTTATTGTGATATATTCATTCTCAGTAATCTGTTATTTTGCTTTTCTTTTTTACAGTCTAAACACTCTGAGGATCACATGTCTGCTGACCAAAAATTTATAGTATTAGGATCATCAGGCGAATGCTTGCCGGTTATGAGGAATCATAAAAGTTATTCTAGCTGTCATTCTGCATCATCAGACACTGAATTTCATTCTGCTAGAACTAGTTTCACTGATGAAGGTGTGTTTATTTAAAATCTGCTTTTCTTATTGCTATTGGGTCGTCCAGAAATTAATGCAGATTTGTGGTTTTAAAATAAAATAAATGATAGAAAACTATTTTTACTAATCTAAATACAGTCTATTACTCTCAATACATTTCTGCTGTTGTAACTTGTGTCTGTTGGTAAATTTTCCATTTCCTCTGGATTGAATGTCAAGCACTGATTTAAATTAACAAATTCTGAAAATGCATTTTATAACAAATTTTTAACTTTTAAAAAGTAAATGGTAGTCATTAGGCAACAGGTCTGGAGAGAAGGACGGGTAAGGTTTGTTTCTGTTTTGGCATAGAAGTGTAGCACAAACTTCATAACAAAGATTTTTTTGCCGCTTGTTCAATGCATCAGAAACCCAAATTTCAAGCTTTTTTACCTTTCCCACTGCATTGAGGTGATCAGTGATTGTCAATTTGCTAACTGAGTTTCTCTGCAACTTCTCAAAGAGTTTTTCTGGGACAGAGCATCGTCATGATCATATTTTTTTTCAAGGTTGAAGTCGCTCTCTTGAAATTTTTCAAACCACCATTGATTATTGCACTCACACACTGTCTTAGACACAGACTTCATTAATGTTTTTGTCCTATTAGGACCTATTCTGACCGAGTTTAAAACTGTAAATAAAATTACAGGACAATCACTTTTTGACATCTTAGTGAGAAATGAATTATTTCCAACTAGTGAAACGCTACAAAAGATAAAAAAATTTAACAGTTTATTATATCAAGGTTTGTTATTATATATACAATTTGTTATATCAGCGTTTAATATAAAGAAAATATAATCTCTATTATTTTCTGGACAATTCAATAAATATAAATATGATAATCATTATTAAGTACAAATATTAGTTGTTAAAGTGCTAATGAACTCTCTTAAATTTTACTAGAACCCGAAGAAGATACAGTTTTTCGAAAATATAGCTGTCAATTAGATAGAGATGATCAAAGGATAATATTTGCTGAACGTTTAAAAGAAGCAATGGATCAGCCAGAAATTGCTGAATCTGAAGCAGATTCAGAAGATTTAAGGTATTGTGTATGAGACTTGGGTATGTTTGTACATTTTTGATCTTGGCACATACCAGATTCAGCAGTTATCTTAATCACATCACTCTTTTACTTTAAAAACAATAATTATTTCCTTTTAATTTCATATTACATAAACATTTTCCACCAATAATTATTATCGTACTCAGAATTGAATAAAATTTGAAAAAAGCAGCTGAAGTCAATAAAAACTCTGTTTTTAAAATTGATAACTTCTCATACTTGAAGAGGGTCATGCTTTAAAAATCTATTCAATTATTTCAAAACTGAAAATTCTTTCATTATTACTACTTTATTGTTGAAAAATAGTAATAATGGAATATATTAAATATATAGTAAAAGGAAGTATTGAGATCATGAAAAGTTTTTAATCCAAGTTTTCAATGGAAATACATATTTTGAGGTCGCCTTAGTCCAAACAACCAACTTTTACAAAATAGACTATGTGTATGGGTGAATAGCATAACTTAAAAATGAAAAGTAAGCAACTGAAATTACACATTTAAGATAGACTTGTGGAAGAAAAAACAAATAATTTTTTATCAATGGTTTTCTCTTTGATGCCTGGTGAACTATCTTATTTATAAATTACTATCCTGCAGCTTTTGCTATTTACTTTTTATGATAAAAAAAAAAAACTTGTACCAGTACAATGTGAGGAAGTACTGTTACAAGGCCAACGGTTGTGCAGGGAGATGATTGGGCCGATATCATGCTCGCCCTTAATTAATTATTTCATTAAGTGAACCCACTTTATAGAGGCTGAGTGTGCCCCAGGAGTGTCTCTCGACCCCAGGGTCAATCCACGGCTGATGAAATATTACTAGTCATCAGCCGGATTCGAATCTGGGACCTTGAACTCTGGAAGTCAGTGCTCACCCACTGAGCCTCCTCACTCCCACTTTTTATGATTCCCTCAAGTGATTGTTTGTACATCCTATAGTTCTAAAATTGAGAGAGAGTGTTGTATTCATCCAAAAAAATAATTTTTAAAATCATTTCAAAGGTCATCCTTCATAGAAGTTAGGTCTTCAGAAAGTGTGAGTTCTTTTATTTAATATAGATTTGGTGTATATCATTGTTCTTAATTCGTGGGTTTTTCCACGAATCAAAAATCTATTTATTCCTAATTGTTGGAATATAATCTGGTTAGTTTCTTCATTGCATTGAAGGATTTTGTTGAAAATATGGAGTGTAGGGTGACTAAATAAATACTTACATTGGTGCTCCTATCACTATAAGTAGAAACTGAAGCAATATATTGAGACATGGTTTGTTAATGGTATACACGTAGGCCTATAAATATAGTTTAAATAGATTTTAAAGCATGCCCTATTCATTTTTATTTAGTTATATTTGTTATTAACTGATCAGTTTTCTTGGTTTCTGCCTAAAAACATTTCATATTTTAGATCAGATTAATTCTTAGTTTATTTTATTTCTGAAACATTGGTCTTAAGTCTTAGTTACTGAATTAAAATGTGGTCCCATAGGATGAGGTGGATTTGAATCAGCAATGTTACTATTGGAAGAGGCTTATCCAAGGGAATGATTGACTGGCTTTACAGGTCCTCATATCACTATCCATCAAATCAGCATGTCAAATTGATCAATGCAGCATCTTTGTAATGCGTATGTTTTTAAAATATAATTCTGTTGATATTTATAAAGAAGATTACTTTTTGAAGTTGCTCAATGTTGATTGCTTCTATAAAATATCTGGGCTAGTCAATCAATCAAAAATGGTGTTGGTTACTAATGGTGTTGGTAATTCTAAAATTTTAGTCCTTTCCTTTCAAAAATGGTTTGTGCATTATTTTTTTTTTCCCGCACAGCTTTTGTAATTAATTGTTCAGAGAATTTATCTTAGTTCAGCAATCTTTGATTTTTGCTTGTAAAGAGGAAGTCAATCAGTTTGGCATTGTTGGATTTAGAAAATACTTCAAACTGTTTAAAGTTATTATTCATTACTTCTCTCATGTAGTTAGGCTTGCTAATTCTTTTTTCGGTTCTGATATTAACTTGGAAATCATCACAGTTATTTTTAATCTACACACAGTATACTGACAATTCATATTTATTTTGTGATTATTTGATGACTCCCTTGTTAAATTAATAATTTAATATCTATTGCAAATCAAAGTAATGTTGTATTTACAATTTTTTTTAAGAAAGAATGTTATTTCATCTTTTTACCTTTACCACTATTAAATCATTAAACATACTATAAAATTTATATTGATAGCCAAAAGTTGGACAGTATTTTATTAAAACAAAGCAAGATTGATAATTTAATTAGTCTTGGAAGAAATGCTTGTCCAAGATGTTAGTAGATTCTAAACCATTCAATTTTATTTTGAGAAGTTTGAAATTCTTTCAGGGTTAAAACGGAATTAAATTTGAATGAAGGATGTTGTTTATTTTATTTGTCCAAGAAGATTTCTGTACAAGATATTCAAACAATTTTAAATTTTGAGTCTAGTACTGAGAAAAAAATTATTGGTTCATAACATCAAATTATGACATATACCAAATAGTAAACAACATATATAAAATCATTATTATACCACTGAACAGTTTAATGAACAGAGTTTCGCAACGGTAGTATATGGTACGTACATTTGCTACCAAAAACATTTGTGATATTTATCCAAATGCATTAGGTGTTCAGAAATGCCAAAGGTGGTTTTAAATGTTGAAATCCGAGAAATTTTACTCTTTCCGACTTGTATCGATCAGGAAGACCAACAATGTTACACACTGACATGTTAAGGGCAGAAATCAAAGCTAGCCCATTCAGACAATTGAGGAATTGTTAAACAGTCTTATCCAACATCGGTCGACCATTCAAGAACATTTGCAGCTGTTTGGGAAACCACCATATGCAACTTATTGCTTCAACGGCTCAATACAGAAGCATTTTTTTATCACTGGATATGAAAAATGGGTCCTGTTTGATTATGGAAAACATAAAAGGCAATGACTCTCTCTAAAAGAATCTCTACAATCTACTGCTAAGCCATATGTACACCCCAAAGGCCCTTTTATGTGTTTGGTGGATTATTCCCAGTTTAGCTCATTTTTAAGTGTTGTCACCTGTAGAAACTATGAATGGATATCTTTTTGTGAACCATTGGATCATGTAAATGAATTTGAAATGAAAAATTGAAGAGTAGTCAGTGATTGTTCACAGAAAAGGCGTTAGTCTGGAACACGAAAATACAAGATAGCACTGTGTAAGACGAACCCTGAAAAAAATTAATGAATTGGGGTGGAGGATACTCCCTCATCCAGCATACCAGCTTGATGTTGCACTATCAGATTCCCATTTGTTCGGATTGTTTCAACACTTACTGAGTGGCAAAAGATTTGCAAATTTAAATGATGTTCAAAATTTCATCTCTATATATTTTGCTCAAAAACCATTTGATTTTTATAGATTCTGCATTGAAAATTCGGCAAAAGTCAGTTGATGATGAGGATGATTCCATCAATGATTAAAAATAAAACCTGGTGTGAAATTTATGTGTCTGAATTTAATGTAAGAAGACGACATTACTTTCTGGTCCCTAATAGTACAGCTTATATCATTAAATATGCAATTAATTTAATTTCATCAACTTATTTATTGTAAACTAAGTTAGTAAAAATAAATCTAAATACCAGATTTGGGAAATTTACTATGAATACTATAAAAATTAAACTGTAATTTGGGTCTACATTTTTTCTTAGATTATTCATTACAAATGAGTAAAATGTTTATAAGAATTAATTAATCATAGATTAGAACTAGATGACCATAAATTACTACACTAAATTTATTATTTATTGTTTTGCCTTTCTAATTTGAGTATTTTGAAACCAATTCTAGTAAATTTTGTGTAACTACTCTTATCAAATTCACATTATAACATTTCTTTCTTTCTAATTAACTTAGAAACAAATTCTAACAAGACAGCTTACAAATGTTATACTATCCAAGTTCACACTATGGAAGTGGCTACCAAGGTTTCCTATTTGGTGCACAGTTGGATCTACAGGAGGGGAGAGGGACTTTCAGACTGAAGCTACTCAAAATAGTAAAATATAACCATGTCGTATGAAAAAAATATTTAAAAATCATTTCTAAAAGTATTATTGTTAGTGTAATTACATTTAATATGACTTCAAGAATCACTTAAACTCCATTTCATATTGGTAGTTAGGATCTTTCTTCATCCAATGTATTAATCAATATATATAAAAAGATTTCGGCTGAAGCCCCCTCTCTCCCAAAATTAAATCGTGGATCCGCTAGTGCTTTGGTGAAAAAGTTTCCTTTTCAGAGAAATTTCAAGGTTGGGAGGGGGAAAAAAGGAAACAATTTTTTTCAATCTGAGCTCAGATTAATCTATTACTTTCACTTACCTATATATGTAATATATAGTAAGAGAAAGTGTTGCGATCGTGAAAATTTCTGAATCTGCGTTTTCAACGGAAATACTTATTTTGAGGTATCCTGAGTCTAAATAACAAAGTTCCTCAAAATGGTTTGTGTGTTTGTATGTTAGCAGTCTAGTTCAAAAACGAAAAGTCGTACGAAACTGATATTACTTATTTAAGATAGGTATATGCCTTAGATGTCCTAGCGACTTTTTCCTTAAAATCGGCTAGCCGGAAGTGCCACTTTATATCAACACTGAAACACATTTTTACAATTTTCTCAAAAATGATTTTGATTAAACTCAGTGTATCATTGTATAATGAAGTGGTCTTTAATATCAATCAGGTCTTATTCCCATTGATGTCACTTTACAGGGCTTAAATGCTCAATGTTCATATACGTCTTCCTCTAAAGTACCTTTAACATGGTTTATTTTAAATAATTAACTATCTCTTATTATTAAGAGTTATGAAAAAATGCTAAATATAACTTTTGAATGAATTTGATAATTGAATAAAGGAGAAAAAAATAAAAATGCTTATCCAGGTCGAAAATGAATCTCCGGAAATACTAGTCAGAAGGAACTCCAGATCTGATATTGTATTTAAATAATTTGGTATCTATCGTCCATTTATTCTGAAAAATCACTTTGTAGCCTTTTAGAAAATTAAATTAGTGAATAATTTGATGAATTTTCTCTTTGTGATATTCCAACAGTATCCACTTTCAATTAGTGTGACAACTTTTGACCTGTTTATGACAGACAATACAAATCTCTTAATTATATTTTAGTAAACTTTGCAATAGAAAATAACAGTTTAATAACTAATAGTCTAGTCATACAATCCATAATCAACGAATCGTACAACCCATAATTAACCAGTGATAAGGGACTTTTATTATTTTGATGGTATTTATGATTTGTTAGCTGTAAGCTTTTAACTTTAGCTCGATTAAAATTGCAATTCAAAAATTTTATAATAGCCAAACATAGCCAGAAAATAATTTATATTCAAAGTTGAGTGGTAAGTGAAAGTTGTGTTTTACGCGCACCAGATTTTTAAAAATAATATATGTAAAAAAAAACATAAAACAAGTAGTTACATATTATATTTATATATGTTTAGGCAAAAGGGATTTTTAAGTTTGTTCTGGAGAGAAAAAAGGGGAAATCTGACTGACTGACCTAAAGGGAAATTAAAAAAAAATATATGGTGGAAACACTGGTGGCTGTGCAAGTTGCTGCCATGACTTGACTATTACTGTACCTGTCATCGTGGGAATGGGTCTTTGATTTATTTTTAATATGTAAAAGTTAGGAACTCCTTCTGTATATTTTATGGATACTTTTGTCTTCTTTCATTTGCTAGTTTATGGTTATTACGTATTTTGTTTTGTTGAAGATTTTATCCTAATAATTTTTAATGTTGTAATCTTAAAGGTTACCATATTTAGTTATTATTATTTATACATCATTTTGAAAAAAAATAATTTATTTGGGACATGTTAACAAGAAACCTGTTTTGTTTTTTTATCCTATTGTTTCGTCAATAATTATAAATATTTCATAAAACTATTTTTAAATGCTCAATGTTTATATTTCTTATTTATGTTATGTCCCATTATTATATTTCAGATTACTTATTTTTAAAATCTTCTAGGTTATTGGGTCGTGATGGTTCATGTGGATTTGTGTTAGATGAACAATCTGAGAGGAATTTTGATATTAGCTGCCATCCTCCAATGAAACATGAAACTTCTGCCTCTTCAAAATATAGTTTTACCACTGATTATAGCTCAGGTAATAAGTATGATTTATTGGTGGTTCCTATTGTGTGAATTGTGTTGTATTATAAAAACTTATGGTTTAAACTAATAATTATTAATGTTTTGTTATGTAAATGTTCCTACTTGGCATTGACTTTAAAATAAAAACTGCTGTCCTTCTCAACAAGGATTTCTTTGCATAGGAAAATTTACTTTGCATATAAAAAAGCTAATTGTGATTGTTCTAAACCATCCCATGCTCAAATATAATTCAATTCTCATTTTAAATAATTCAATCAGATTAAACAAATAACAGTTATTAAACCAAAATATTGAATGTTAATCAACTTTCTGTGTTGAAAAACAATCTTTTTTTTATGAACAGTATTTCAAATTTTTAAAAATTAAATATTAATAAGGTCTAAGCTGGGCAATGTGTGGGAGAATCATTTTGACTTTAAATTTATTTAGATTGAAAGTAAACAAAGCATTTTTTTTTTTTTTGTTGTAAATCTCTCCATTTGTATTCTATTAATTGCCCTCAATCTTATTGTTTTATAAACTATTGGATAGACAAATAAGTCTTTTCGGTTTTTGTCAGGGTGAAGTGAAACTCAATGTATTATAGACATAAAATTTATTTTAATCTACAATTGACCATTATTTAATATGACTTTTCCCATCTTTCCACTAACTGTTAAATGCCATGCTCATATAATGTCTGGAGTTTATTGTGGAAAAACTGATCCAAATGGTTTTTGATATCCTCTTCCATTTGGAATTTCTTTCCAGTTATGGAGCTCTGCAGAGACCGGAATAAGTGGTAGTCACTTGGAACTAGATCTGGTGAATAGGGAGGGTGGAGCAAAAGGTCCCATCCAAGGCTCAATAATTTATTGCGAGTGACCAATGAGGAGTGGGGCCTAGCATTGTCTTTGTGGAACACAATACCCTTCCGATCATTAATAACTCTTCAGGATGTTCTCCAAATTACTCGATATTACTATATCTGTTGGAAAGCTGAATTATTGTTCTTGCATGAATGTTTTTTTTTATTTAATGCCTACATAAGGAATAAATAAAAAAAACTCTTTATAGGTTTTTATTTTTTATCTCCATTTGTAGTTTTTTTTTACGAATGTCCTGTTGAAGTCATTTTGTGTAGTTTATGTGGCCCTAAATTCCTGCTGAATTTCTTGTAGATAACTAAAATTGTATTGAAGTTATAACATTTTTTGTGATTTTCGAAAAAAAAAAATCATGTGAGGTACCCAAACACTAAGCCTGAGAACATAGCCGAGTTTGTGGAAATGGTTATCTATGCTTTTGTGCGACACATTTAGGGTCATAGCAATCTCTCGCACTGATTTGGTTGGATTTTGACCAACAACGGCCTTAACATTGCTCGTTTCAATTTCATGTGGGCGACTAGACCATTGAACATCATTGATGTCATAATTTCCTGAATGAAATTTATGGGCATCATCCCCTTAAGCATAGACAATTTTCTATGAGCTTCTGTAGCATGCTTACTATTTTAAAAATAATATAACAAAATATGCCTATAATGAATGATATTTTCTTCCATATTCACAGTGCATTAGCAAACACAATACTAAGCTAGTTTCAACAAGAGTTAACAGATATAGTTGTTGATATTTTAGAAACAGGATAAACAATCGACCTTAGGGATTAATTCGTCAGATAAGAAGTGTATCATAGTGACATAAAAATAAACAGAAAAAACGAAAGGACTTATTTGCCAACCCAATATAAATTTTATAACCATTTTTGTTGTTATGAATTATAACCTTTGTTTTAATGATTCACATTTTAGAGTTGGGAATAGTTTATGAACAATTAAGTGGATGGCTTGATGAAGATGATTCTCTTTTGTATGAATTAGACAGTACAAAGGGAATGAGAGAGCGTGCAGTTATACAGTTTGCAGGAAATCTTTTAAAAAGAACTCTTTCAGAAAGTTTTGTCGGAGTTCCTGTAGGAGATGGCATTCATGTTGATTTGCTTCCAAACCGAAATGTAAAAACTGCTGTCAGAAGTCTTAGTTTAGAACTTGCCCGACATAAGAGCAAATTAGCTGCACAACTGGTAAATAAAGTTATAAACTATATTTTTGCATTACAGCACTATATATTAAAGTTAGAAAATAAGGCTTAATTAGTATATAATGTAATAATCGATATCTGAAAGATTTTATAATGATTTTGTATGATGTATTGTGAAGACTTTCTAAAGGAGGAATAAAACAGTTGGAAAAAATTCCTTAAGGTAGTGTGGAACAGATTCTAACTGTTATAACACATTTCATTAGCCATGGGGGAAGATAGTTATTATATGGAGGAGTTCAGAAGCCGGTCAGAGCAAAGCAGTATAATATAAAAAGGTGATAAATGGATGTTTTAAAACTGTAGTCCAGAAAAATAATGGTGATTCTTTTTTTTTTTTTTTTTTTTATTTTTATTGAATAATAATACAATCAGCCACTGTTGGAGGGCTATAACTATTAAGGCTAAAAGTTCTCATTCATACAGTATATACAAGTAATACAGAAGTAACTATAAATATAAAAAGTGAATAAATAATACTTATAAAAAAATGTAAATCAATAGAAAAAAAATAAATAAATAAAAAAAATAAATAAACAAAATAAAATAAAAACTTCTAAACACATTCATACCTATATACAATATATACATTCGCCCAGGAATCTCCGAGCCAGGCTTTTCTCCCCACATGTGGAAAGCAAAGCAGGACTCCAGAGATCCCAGTGCCACTTTTCCAGCCGCATCACTAGTATTAAAAGCCAGTGGAGGCTGAAGGAGGGCACTAGAGCCAAATGGTGATTCTAAAAATTATTATTAGAAAATTGTGCCTTTCTTTATAGGATATAGAAAAACTAAATCAAAACACAATTATTCTATTATCAGTATAAATTGTGTAATCCGATATTAGAAAAGTAAAATAGTGGCTTAAACCTTTTATTAAATGAAACTTTTGATAATAACGAAGCAGTTACAGCATATAAGTTATTTTCAAAAAAATTATGACACAATGATTGGCATCTGAACCCTCCATATGTTGGAATTTAAGAAAATATATATTATTTTCTACAAATAAATGTAATAATGCTACAAAGCATCATCATTCATCTTCTTCGTCAGTGCTTTTAAAATATAGGGTACTCTTGAATGAAATAGAAAGTTCTGGCGTCCCAAAGAGATCAACGCATTGGTCTCACTCATTTCAAATAAATTGTCATTTCATTTGACAGCACATCTCATTGATTTTGTCACCTAATTCCTCATCAGATTGATCTTTTTGCTGCCTAAGCCCCTCCCAAATTTCATTTACTGTGTTGAAAACAACTGTTGAACGCCATTATTGTAGAAAATGTAAGTCACAAACAACAATCTAAATTAGAAACATCATTATAAACATTGGGTCACATCAGATCCACTTAGTGGTGGAGTGAAATTAAGAGATAAATCAATCAAATGTGGCGCTTACCTCATTTGATGTTAGCTGGTGGAAGCCTTTATTCGGATTGCCTGGAAGGTTACCTTGAGCCTTGGGATCTTGCAGAAGGAAAACGACGAGATATATGCATTCATCTGCTGGACGCGTCGTTTTCGACCTGAACATTTGTAGAAAAGGGTTAATATTTAATTTCCTACTACTATTATTGTTCCTAATACCATTGCAGGTCTCTTTCAAAAATCCAAAGCCCTATATTATTTTATTTATTCATCAATGACTTCTCCTCTATGCTATCAATACAGCATTCTTGACTTCCCTAAATAGATATATAACGACATATAAGATATATAAGGACTATATAACGTTTATAAAACATTTTATATATCTAAAAAACATCAACATTGACAAAATTTAAGTCATTATTTTCTATAAATGACAAACTATACTCTTTCCAAAGATAATCTTAAATGCAATTTCCATTCTATTTGCAAAGTCCTTAACATTTTTTAAGAGTTATACTTGAGTATAAACTCCTACTTAACAAATTTAGTAATTTAAATAGAGCAAATTTCTGCAGGGTGTTGAATTCAAAGTATCTTTAATTCAATAAACAATTCATATTTCCTCCCTAAAATAAATAAATTTTAACACCAATATTAACTGATGTCTGTCTCTTCTGGAGCTTCACTAACTCAACTAAATTTTCTGGAACAAATACCTAGTAATTATAAATAAATATCCCGTCAATCTAATACCCTTTCTACCTTTAAATCCCACCTGTTCAACCATTTCTTATCCATTCAGTCCCCATAAAATTGTAAATAGATACCACTGTAAATATGTATATAAATTATAAGATTTTTCTTAATTATTTTTACATTATTTTCAATTTTTTATTATGGCTATTTCGTTACTCAGAATTTTTTTTATGTATCTCTGAGGCTCCTTAGCCCAAATTTCTGTCCTGTATTTTTCTAAAGGGACTCGTCCCAGAATAAATAAAACATTATTATTATTACTACTTAATTTTTTGTCTCACCTTTCTTTCTTTCAGCGGTATAGATTTTTATAATTACATATTGTGCTGGTTATGCATACATGTTAATATCACGTGTCAGCTTTTCCCTCTAGTTTAATTTGCTTATGTTCTTAATTCCACTACTTATCTTCAGAGCGGCTTCCATTTTGTTCTGGCCTTCCAGGAGCATGTCTTGTTCTAATTTAAGGATGAAATTAGGCAGGTCCCAGTGCCCTCTTGTATCCATACACAAACTCTTTGTAATGTGGGTATTATTATTTATTGAAACCCTTCCCTGCATTATTGGAATGTTTTTCATGACATGTTACTCCTGCAAGAAAATGGAGTAATATTTTTACATTGAGGTGTGCACATAGAACAAATATCCATATAACAATGTAATATGTCTTTCTGTATATTGTTACCATCAGATTGGTAAATTGATAACAGTGAGAAGTCAATGTTTCTTCCCCTGATGTATCATGCTACGGAATCTGCTGTTGTATACTCTCTCAGATTAATCAGAATGATGTTATGGCTATTAACCACTACAGAAACCTTGACCCACCCTCTCTCTCCACGGCTTAGGGCCTAATCCCAAGACCATCTTCTCACATTAGCTCGATCTCTGATACCTGTCATGATGCAGCCCAAGTTGAGCTGGAATATGGTTCATCTTAGTCATAGAATGTTTTATTCCCTACTTCTTGGGACCATTTTAGGTGTACAAGGCACTCTGTCCTACCCATCTTGTGCTTCCTTTGGTTGATTAGGACTTTTGTCTGCTCACAATTTCACACGTTGGGTCAATCAGATCTTGTTTCCTTAGACATTCCTTTAGCACATGGCTACTAACTCAACACCGAATGCAAACTACGGCATCCACCAAACATGTGGCCTTTGCATGCTTGTAGTCCAGCGCTTCCTGCACTGGAGAAGCATTAAGATTTGATGAATTCCATACAGTCAAACCTTCCAATAATGCTCACTCTTCAAACTTCTTAATAACTGAAATATTTAATTATACATATCTTACTACTATAATAATATATTATATATAATGATGATATATAATATAATAATATATTATGTTACCATATTAATAGTATATTAGTATATAATATGTAAGATATAATATCACCCACAGATACAAACACTACTAAACAAAATAAATTCTACTGTTAACATTTTCATATTTTTCAAATGACTTGTACAGCAAACTGTTATTTTCAAAATGGTATTGAGTTTTTATTCTGTTTATTTTTACTAATAAAGCTATTATACTGTAGTATATAAACAAAGATAGAAATAAAGTTATATCATATAGTATAAGGGTATTCCTTAAACCAATTACTATCGTACTTATATGAAATTTAGAAAAAATAGTTTACATTTTGACTGTATTTGTTTTTCTCCTTAGGTTTCTGTTGTCCTTCATCAAAATGATGGCGTTCTGCCCGTGGCAACATTCAATTGTGGTTGTTCTTCTAGAAAAGGCGAAACACAATTAAAATTATTAATTCAATGGTTAGCTGCTAGTGCTGCAATTTTACCTCACGTTATATATTTTACTGCAGCAGAACCAAATTTGAATAAGGTTATATTTTGTTTATTTACTCATGAAATTTTATATTTATATAGTAAAAAATTGCTTTTAAAATTTTTATTATAGCTGTACCTGATCATGCATTGCTGTGGCTCATTCTAGTTAAATAAAAAAAGAAATGGACAAAAAATCAGATGTTTCTAATATATTTTCTGTAACAATACTTGTGGATATGTGATAGATAGGTACTTTGTTGTTCCATTCTTTGTAGAGATATAGAGATTGTCTGTTTTTTCAACTCTTGAATTCTCAACATTTAATTGTCTATATAAGAAGCAATCAGTTTTTAGATCTTCCAAGAAAAATTACTAAATGTTTAAAGCATTATATCTCTGCACCAAATCGTCCGATTTTAGTGTATGTTTTTTTATATGCATGGCATCAAAGAAGCTTTTAAATAATGATGAGTATAATCCAACAAAAATTGGGTATTTTTTGAGTTATTAACAAATATAGTTTTGAACCCATTGTAACTTTTTTTTTCACACTCTTTTCAGGGAAGGATGTTATATACATAAATTAAAAGGGCTTCAAGGAGAAGACCTTAGCCAAGTTTAATTAAAATCGTTACGGCCGTTTAGGCACTACAGCCTATAGCGAGACAGGTTTTTGTGCCGCCTTAAACGAAAGACTGGTGATCAAATGTATATAAAAACACTCCTGAGATTGAAACTTTATGTCAATATTTCAAAGCAATTGGTGAAGAAGTTTCAGAGATTAGCATGTTTTTTAGCCATGAATCAACAAAAAAACATTGGAATTGTAGTTCTGAAGATGGGAGTAAATATCCCAAAACGTAAACATGTAATTTGGAAATTCAACAAATAAATTCAATTGTTGTTTAATTGGAAGTCATCATTGCTAAAAACAAAGAATAACACACAACTCAGAAAAAGAACATTTTAACATATTCAAGCAACGTCGAGCATGGTTAGTACTTGGATGGGTGACCGACCACTAGAGAAAGCCACATTGCCCGATAACCTCCCCTCCAGGTGTGTGAGACCCGTCAACCTATTGGAGGCAACTCACACAGACCGGGCGTAGGACTGATGACCCTACTCTGTGTATCTAAATTGGAAATGTGGTTCACCAGGATGTCAGTAGCCCCCTTGATGTTTGGTTCATGGACGGTCTGTTTCAGGGAAAGAAATATAGGTCCTCTTGTGCTTGCTGACTCAGAGCAGCCATAATCCATGGATCTAGACCGATTTTTTTAAATAAATAGTATAGTTGATCATGTCAGAGTTAAAAAGAAATATCGAATATTTGGCTATAAAATCGAATATTTTCTCTTACACATTCGATTAAGAATTCTTTCACATCCATTGCATATTTTATAATGAACCAAAATAAAATAATTTGAGAGTTTATGCAGTGAAAACAAGTGGAAAAAAAAGATGGCACTAACGAACAAAGCCTCATGGTTGTGGGGCAGTAGTGAGTAGGTGTGGTGGGGGAAGCTGAGCGTAGCAGTCAGCTTCCAAAACCGAATCTTGGTCGAACCAGAGCTGACCCTTGTTATGCCGCTCAGCTGTTAGCTGGCCTTCCATTAAAAACCTTCAATTCGGTTTTGTAAGCTGACTCAACTCAGCTCCGCTACTCTTTTAGTGTCTGGTCGGCCTAATAATTTATATCACATTAGAAATTTCATCTTTGAGGATGAATTCTCTCTATATTTCTCTTTTCTTTAAATAGCTTAAATCCGTCAATAAGTTTCCATAGTTAATAAATGAAAAACGGTTGCCCTTTTATATAATAGTAATAAAAATAAATGACCAATATTTTTTTTTGTTTTGATGGTATTTGTAGCAATATCCAAATTCATGACTATAAAAATGTTAAAATTAGGACTAAACTTTATTAATTCAATGTATGACTAATGTTTTAAAAATATTTCAGCTTGATACCGTTTGCAGAGTTCTTCTTGATCGACAGTGGAATGTTGGAGAACTTGTTTCATCTATATTGAGGTTTAGTGAAGGAAAGATACTGGGATCCTCGAACAATACATTATTTGAGCATATCATTTGTAATAATGATAAGAAAATCATTCATAAAGCGTAATATACAACTGTTTTTAATTTTGGGTTTGGATAGTAATAAAAAAATATAATTACTGTGCCAAGCTATTGACTGAGTTAAAAGATTGTGCCAATGTTTTATTTTAAATGTTCAATTGTACATTTTTATTTATTAATTATTATTAATCCAAGACCTTTTTTTTTTTTTATTGTTTTTTAGGCTTAAAATATTTCAATTCAATTATAGTAATCTTATTTCACTTATGATTGCTGATAAAAGCTTATTCATTTGCTGATTAAATATACTCAAGCACTTAAAAGATGTTATGACAATGAAAAGTGATATTACATTTGCCATAAGATTATTTAGTCTGTTTTTAGTAGAAAACGTTTGAATAAAATGCCTTAGTATTGGCTTATAATACATTAGCTTGTTTGATTACAAAATCTGAATTAGTTTTATAATGCATTTTTGAACTTATTAATTATAAAAATTCTGAACTCTAGTTAGTTCAGGAACTGATCTCTTCCATGAAACACCAATCAGTGTCATGCCAATATTATTTTTATGTATTTTATATGATGATATGTGCCTATATTCTTTTAAAATTTAGGTACGATAGGATTGGTGATTAATAAAACTGCTGAGTCACAACATTAACTTATCTCCTGAAAATATAATTGTTGTTTTATGTTTTCCAATATTACTGTATATCATTTATTTTACTTACAAACATTTATACTTTACTATTTTTTTTTTTTTTTAATTTAGTATAATACTATCATTTGAATTATTTAAGACCATGTTGCGGTGATTTATTTTAAATCACAATCTTGTGACATTTTACATGAATAGGCCCTATATGTCAAGATGGAAGCACTGGCTGCTAAACATTTTTGTACAAATGAAGTAAACCAAATAGTATGAAAAAGAGGCTGTATAAATATTTTATACATTTGAACATTTTTGGTTATAGACTTCAGATTATTATTGTATTTATAGAATAGAATGCATTAGTTATGCCCATCTCTCAGAAAATTGTATTCTTTTCTTCTTAAGAATTGTATACAAAAATATTAAAAAAGTAAAAATATAATTATAAAAATCAGTTTAGTTTTTCCCTGGTTTTTAAAGTTTGTCAGAAACATACGATTCTCTCTAATAATTCATGACTCAAGGCAAAAATTGATGGCCATCCTGTTTGAATTTTCAAAATTTCTTCCTCTAATCAGCTTTAATTTTGTTTATTTAAAAAGATTAACCATTTCTCGTTATAACTTGTAATATAAAATAGTCAAATGTAAACAATGAAAATTTTTTACCATTAACTAATGGGGAAATAAGAATTTGGAACTAAAACTTACAAAAACAGCTGAGAGCACCCGATCTTTGCTAATTCCCTGCATTTACAGATACCTAATACTGCTCTATTCAGGGTTTTTATTGTTGGTTTAACTGCTATATTTCCCTGTAATTTTCAAAAAATATTTTCATGCAAAATGTAGAGGATCTATTTGTATAAACCTAATACAGTATATACTAATATTAGAAAGTGGTACAAATTAATTTATGATTTAATGGATAGGGAAAATATGGTAATTAGTTGTTTTAAATTAATATATTTTGCAGTCTTTGCATAGTTTTTACTTTTACTTCATTAATATATGAAAATACCTATTTCTACTCTAAGTAGGGTGGTAAGTGAAAGTTGTGTGATGTAGGCACCCTGCTTAAATCTGTTTTTATTTGTACAGAAAATTTATATATATTTCTTTCAATTCATCTATTAAAATGATAATGGCTGTAAAACTAACATTTTTTTATATTAATATTAAACATTAAAGTAATTTAAAAACAAGGAGTTATATCGGCCCTTCTCATAGACATCTTCAAGATTTTTTACAAGCTGTACATTTTTACCATAAAATTAAATTTTATAAAAGTTTGGTACCTTTTACCATACTTAATGTAATTTTCTCAGTAAATTTATCAGATGTATATACATGTATATAACATTTGTGAATCTATGAAAATCGATATCTAGTCAAAAAGTGTTTTATACCAAGAAAAATTAAGTATTTTATATTTTTTATAAAGACCAGTAATAAGAGGATGAACTGAAATAATTGTACACTGTATTGTTTGTTTTTTACTTTAAAATGTTAAGAATATATTTATCATATTTTAACTTCTTTAATCTTGATAGAAAAATTTGCTTGAACAGTTATAGTCAAAGAAACTAGTCATACAAATTAATTAATTTCTAGACACAAATACTTCTATGATAGAATAACGTAGTTAGTTAATTGATAAATGATGAATTTTACTAACTTAAATGTTAGCATATTTATCAATAAAAAAATGGCAACTTTATGAAATGGTCGATTATATTCTGTTATATTTTAGGAATTAGAACAATTTTCTTAGGTATGCAATTTATCTCTAAAATAATTTAAAATAAAAACTTACAATTATTATTATTACAGAGCTTAGTGGATGTTGTATTTTTATTTTCTTTAAGTTCATTGTCTTTGTTCTTTTTTTCTATTTATAATGAGTAGTTTTTAAATTATATTGTAATATTGATTTCCAAATTATATATCATTGACACCATGTTAAAGTAACGAATGTGGACTTTCGATTATGATTATTCGTTACTAAGACATGTACATATTTATAAATTGGTAAAAATTACATTACTGCTTCCGGTCACTGTTCATACTCCACATTTTGCCACAAGACCTTATGGAGTACTATAAATAAACAAAATTGAAAAATGTGATTTTTCAAATTCATTATTTTAACATGGTACCAACGATTTAATCCATATAATTTGTTTTTAGATTAATGGTATTCCTTTTAAGAAATAAAGTGTCAATACATATAGTAACGTTTTTAAAAAATGTGCTTGTATGCTCTAATTGTATGTATGGTCTAGTAATTGTTGAATGCTTTGTCAGAATTTAGCTTTCTGATGTAAGACAAGAAAATTATGTTTTAATTTCATTTGAGATGTTCTTTATTTAACAAAAAAAATCCTATAATGTCTTTTGTTTAGAATTAATTTTGGTAAGTATTATATTGAAGCATGTGAGCCTCTCTAACCCCTTCAAGGCTTTGTGGTATTCAGTTAGAATGGGCTCCACATCTGTGCCCTCTTGTACTTCTTCATTCACCGGAAGAACCTTTGTCTTGATATCAGTAGCCACTTTCATTTTAATATCATCAAGGAATCCTTCATTTTGAAAGACTTCCTTAGGTTTAGGTAAGACTTTCTCCTGCTTTTAGCAAATATACTATCTATCAAGCAAGAGATCAAAAGTTTTCTTTCTGCAACTTATCACAGTGCATTTAACTTTGGGGTGCCTTGGTCAGCATTGTCTCATATTTTAAGTATATCACTCTTAACCATTCTTCTCTCCTTCTGTGCAAAGTTAACTCTTCCAAGCTGGGTCTCAGTCCCCATCTGCCTGTATTGGCCTCCATACACTTATTCCTTCATCTCATTTTTTCTGAGGTATTCGTCATTCTTTCTAAATTTATTTCATATGTTGTCTGATGTATTCATCACATTGCCTAGCTTTTTTAATTTTCTTCCAAACCTCTTTATTCTCCTTCCTATTGAATTTATCTTTCAATATTATTTGTCAATTTTTAGTAACCATCCTGCAATGTCTTAAGGATCATACTTTTAGCTCGATGATTGCTAATGGTTTATAGGCTCACTCCCCTAACATGCCAGACATTTTTTCTCCACAATCCTCCTTATGTCCAATCCTATGATTTTTTTTTTTACTTTATCATTATGAAATATTTACCCGTTTCACCATAATCAAGCCAAACAGTCATTATCGGCTAAAAAGCATTAAACGAATTACATAATCATATGGCAGCATGTTAATTTTATTCATCCGGTTTTTTCCTGCCCAACTAATTGTAATGTATACTGGTTTCTGCTGTTAGGTAGGCTTTGTTGGCAATGATTTCATAATCTCTGCCATGATTTCATGATATCTCCTGATTTTGTCCATAAGGCTTCTTTTTATTTTCTTGTTTCGCTGCCGTATTACTTCTAGTTACCTCAGTCTTCCTACTGCTTTTTCTACATGACCACCTCATAAGTATCAGCGGTTTCCTGGAACATCCAACCTAAGTTGTAGACTTAATGGCACCACACCTTTGGCTGAAACAGCTTCCACAACTTTTGGTACAGATATCTACTATAATTTCTGTGAATATCTAGAGAATCCTTTATGAAGCATTTCAAGTACCACCCTCTCAACTAGTGCACTATGACTGGCTTCGTTTGCCACATCTTATAAATTTAATATCATTGGAATAAGAGTAATAGTCAGAAATGCGAGATCTTGTGGAGAGAGAATGGATAGATGATTTAAATTGAAGGAGATTATATGCGTAAGATGGACCATGATTATAGATTATTTGGTACAGGAATGTGCCAAGGAAATATTGTCTTCTGAAGGAGGGCAAGAGACTCTAATTCAGCTTAGTAGTGGGAAACAGGAGAACAACTAGGATTTCCATTGACAAATCTTACTAAGCCATTCACGATCCTTTTCAGCCTATCTCAGAGTTCCGACGAGAGGCCACCATACACCACGCAGCTGTCGTCAAGATGAGGGTGAATAATAGGAGTCTACGTGTCGACATTGGTAGGAGATGGCGCAAGTAATGGAATAGTTCCATGGTAGAAATTGAACGTCGCGAAATGTGGTAAATATGGTGATTCCAGAAGAGGGTTTGATGTATGAAAATATAGCTAAAAGTGATTGGTATTTAGATACTGGAGAGGAATGTTGGTATTGGTTATGAGATGGAGTATAAAGATCGTAAAATAAAAATGTTTTATTTTTATTACATTTTTTTTTTGTTTATTTCAATTTTCATAAATCTGAACATGAAGATAGGTATTACCAGTATCAGAATCATCACTTTTTAAACATTGGTGGATAGCAGTCCATGGGGACTGGCTAAATCACAAGTATCCCAAATTCTTCTCAGTACAACCTACAATCCTCAAA